CAAGCACAAAAGATGCCCCCCACCGCCTCGGCAAATTAGGGCCCCGCCCCGGTTTCGTTTCCGCTCCCAGATGAAAGGATCGCACCCTCGAGCATAAACTAACCCCTTTCCGCCGCACGTGCGCTCGATGCACGTTGAACCGAATCCGCCCCGTGCAAAGGCCCCTGCAGGCCGCAGACTAAATGCGAGCCCGTAGTCAAACGCAAAGTCGGCGCCTCCTTGCTTGGCCACATAGGAGGGGCGGCCCCCTCGCACGCCCCCAGCATTTGGCAACGGAGGGACGGCCGCCGGAACGCTTCTGATGTCGTCAAAGACCGGAGCCGGGCCGTGGAAGTGGACTGCCGCATACCTTCTGACGGCTTGACCGGCCTTCAGGGTCTCGTGCAGGGTGGCTGAGGCTGTTGGAGTGGTTGAGGCGAGTAGCACGGTGCTCGTGACGTCTTCGAAAGCTTTGAGCAACGTTGAATGGTCCATCCTTCTGACAAGGAACAGATTTGCTGATTTGAGCACACCTCGGTTTCCCTGAGATCATGTCTTGACGTCTTTTGATTTGATTCTAAGGGCAAGTAGTAAATTCTTAAGCTCGTACAAGCCGCTCCAAGTGCCATTCAATGACGTACTCAGGGAAAAACGTGCCCCTAGATGGGCAACTTTTTTCCCATGGCGCTTCCGTGTGACACCATCACTGACTTCAAGCATGAGACCTCGGATAGCAAGGACTATCTGGGGATGCCACTAGCAGCCAACCGCACTATTCAGTGGGATTTCATTGCCGACTATGTTATGGGGGCAATCAAGCATCTCTTTACGCTCGACATCAACAACCTAAGCATCTGCAGTGATGCAAAGCTCTTCTACGATATAGCAGATCTCACCATCCGCCATCTTCGCGAGACGGGCAGATGTTGCAAGACGACCAATCTGAATTGGCCTCGTCTATTCCGAGACTTCATGAGCAAGGGCGGCTTTGAGCGCCAGGACTTTGCCACCATAGTCACTGAATTTCATGACATGCTCTTCCATCCCGTCGACCCCGAAGCTGCAGCTGATGCCGACACCAATATTGATGCTGAAGCAAGGTCCATCGACGAGGTTTGCATGTATTTGGAGCCGATGGATGATGTGTGCAATCATTCAGGGTGTCCGTGTGTGGTTGGGGAAGACTGACCTCACGGCTTGTAGGTAATGACCCCACGCCATAAGACTGCTTCGAGGATCTCGAGATACGCCGTGTGCGGAAGGTTGTGACTAGGGCTCTTTGTGACGGACATTTGCACATTTCAAGTGACCTGCGAGTAAAAGCGCCTCGTTCAAAATATATCAAGTTTACGGGAAGCCCTTTTTGTGAGTCGGTCCCTTGGCAACGACCATTCCAACACCTTTTGCGTTGCGTTTGATGGCGCGTACCCACTGCCAGTCATTAAGGGTCTAGAAAACAATCGGCCGACAGCGGGTACCCGTCAACGACCTACAACCACGCCGCCATACTTCCGTTGTAACTGATGGGCCGTACCCACTGCCAGGCATTAAGGATCTAAAAAGCAATCGGCCGACAGCGGGTACCTGTCAACAACGTTCGACCTCGCCAGGTCATATTTCCGTTGTGATTGATGGGCCGTACCCACTGCCAGGCATTAAAAATCTAGAAAGCAATTGGCCGACGGCGTCTTTCCGCTGTAATTGATGGAGCGTACCCACTGACGGGCATTTGGAGTCTAACGAAAAGTAAACATCACTGGGTACACTATGTGAATGGGGACGCCAGGTCATATTTCCGTTGTAATTGATGGACCGTACCCACTGCCAGGCATTTGGAGTCTAAGGAAAACTAAACATCACTGGGTACACTATGTGAATGGGGACGATTATCCCATCAAGATTCGCCATACCACCAGAAATGGAGCGTACCCACTGACGGGCATTTGGAGTCCAAGGAAAAGTAAACATCACTGGGTACACTATGTGAATGGGGTCGATATCCCATCAAGACCCGCCATACCACTTACAATGGAGTGTACCCACTCGTGGGCATTTGGAGTCTAAGGAAAAGTAAACATCACTGGTACACTGTTGTGAGAGTGGGAGACCAACCATACCACTCGGAAAAGTAGGAGATACGGAGAACAGGCCAGGCCACTGAGCGCATGGCAATGTCGAAATTGCAGATCTATCAAACCAAGCTGCTGATCACTTGGCAGGTTTCAAAGATAAACCCGAGCTGTCAATGCTGGATTCACTGTTCACTAGGTAGTAAGCCGCTCATTGTGAGTGACTCCTTAAGCTGCGTAACGTCTCACCTCACGTATAAGCCTCTTTATGGATCCAAAGGGTATGCTCGTGTCGTTGCAGCTCGCCCACTTAACGTTGCCGGTGCCTACAGCGCCCAATTCGCCATACTGGGAAACCTCAGTGCCCTGAACTTCACCTAAGAGCCCCCGGAGTCGTGCGACTGTAGCAGTTGGGTGCATAGCTTATGGGTGTTAGGGCCGAACCGGGCACTTTCTGTTCATTCCAGCCGAATCTCAGATCGACGGCACTCGGCTAAACCCTGCTCATCGGACGGCCGAGAGAGTTGGGTGGGATTTCGTCCTCGCGCCGCCCCCCACTCACTGGATCATGCGTCCGCGCGCGCGCCAAGCAATGACATGGCCGGGCGGCAAACCCCAACCCCTGGCCACGCGCTGCCGCCCGCCCGGCACGGTCAGCGGCCGCGCGGGCGGCCGGAGCGATCAAGCTAGCTTATAGAAGCAGTTTATTGTAACTTGTGAGTCGTGACGCGCGGCGCCGGTTCCAGCCTGAGGTTTGATCGTTTGAAGCGCAGTTGCTGGCTTACTCTCAAGAGGCAAAGGAACCAGTCCTAGTCCTAGGCGTCCCTTTTGTGGCGGCGACTGCCCCAGAATGGAGGCCTCACAACAGCAAACATGTTAAGTGATATGAGAGGGGAAGGAAGGGACGTCAACACTGCTGATGCGATAGCAGTAGATAGGCATGGATCGCCTTGGAGTGGATGAGAATGCGCAGGATGGTTCTGTGTCCAACGACGTCAAGGAACGGGTGAGCTTCTTTTCACCAAGTTGCGACGTTGTTGCTGTAGGCGCAAAGGTGACCTCTCTCTACTGCTGACTGCGGATGCTTCAATGGAAAGGCGTCTTGCAGAAATCAAACTTAAAAATGTAGGATTTCCTGGTCGATGGGACTCGGATGAACCGTCAAGTGCAAACGTGAGAAAGCTACAAAGCTGCTCCTTTTACCCGTTCTCCTGGTTGCTAAAACTCTCTGTTGCTGATTGAAAATTCCATACGAACGCCGTGATTCTGATCAACACTTACCATAGAACTATACTTCAAACATGCAGGTGGACTCATGCTCGGATGCTACTGCCCCTCCCAAGCCTGGTCAAGCAACGCAAGCTCTTCTGGAGGGCATCAGTTCGGATCCAATGCAGAAGCTTGAGCAGCATTCCATATGCAGCGTCCAAAGTGGAGCGACCAGTGCTCCTGAGAACACGTCACCACTGCGCATAGAACCTCTTCGTCATCCCCTTGCAGAACTGCCTCTGAACCAACTTCCACTGGACATTGCTAAAGGGGCAGAAACTGAGAATAGCGGAGTTCCAATCTTTTCCCCTCTCAGGGAAGAGCATTTTGGATTTGGGGTTGCTGCAGAAGGCGGCGGTGCTGAGGTCGAGAAAGAAGTGATGGACGCTTATCCGAAAATATCTTTCGAAAAAGGCTTCAACACACATCCGCAAGAAGAAGCCCTGAGGAAAGTAACCCATGCTTCTTTGAACTCCTTGAAAAAGTGTTCTGAATCTTCCTCTGATGAGAAAGGCCAAGGCGCAACAGATGCTTCAGCAATCTCAACAGCTGCACATGGACCAGCAAGAAGCACGATGGACACGGCCAAGCTTCTGGAAGATTCTGCAAAGTTGGCATCGGTCAGGCGTACAAGCTCTAGCTCGGTGGAGGTAAGTGCAATCGTACAATCGTACAATTGGTGAAAGCTGACAAGTCTACATCATTATTCTCTGTTCTTGTTTGTTTTTTCTCAAATTCAGTGCGTTCGATCAGACAACTACAAAGTCCTTCCTTGATGAAACAACTTATGCAGTCTGCTCATCCTGCAGATAGCCAAGTTGAGGCGAGCACTGTCTCAGAGCAACACTTTTCTGCGCAGCTCCTTCAACTTCTTGAAAAGTGTAAGCTCCGTATCCAAGGAAAGGATCGTCGGTCGTTCTCATTTTAAGCGATGGTGCTTGCAAGCTATTAAAACGTATGAGGTCAGCTTCTTCTGATTGTCGTTTCCAAGGACCTTGTAGATTTCAGGACAAGGCTCCCAACGTGATCAGGAGCACGTCGTTCCGCCCTGCTTGATAAGGACTGAGCTGATCACACTGTGTTGTTTCTCAGCAGGCCCTGGACAAACGAGCGGGTCTGAATGAACGTGCCAGCATGCAGTTTTCAACTGCTGCCTTGCTTGGACAGGAGCCTCAAGATCATGGCTTCTCAGCAACCTCGACAGCGCCTCCAGCTTTGCGATCCGTCCAGCGCGCTCTTTCAGCCGACTCTCTCGAAGTCTCCCCTGAGAAGCTTGCCGCCTGTAAGAGATTGAACGTTGGAAGTGAAAGTTCGACTTCGGAGGAAGAGCAGGAGTTGGGTGCTCACAACACGAAAAGGCAGGTGGGAACAGAAGAGAAACTGATTGCTTCCCCGCAAAAAGTTCCTGCATCACAATCTTGTGAGAAAGGCTTTGAGGCTCAACTCTTGATAAGATTCGAGTCTGTTCGAGAGATAGAGCAGGGAGCTTCAGCAGAAAGCAATCAGCAAGAAGGGCCCACTCTGTCGAGCAGGAAGCGGAAAGAGCTTCGTGTTACGACCAGGAAGGAAGACATCGTCACTGTTCAGGAAGACGAGCAGATGGACACTCCAAGCGAAAGACTTTGCACACCCCCAAGAAGTCCTCAAATTGGTCCAGGGGTAGTTGAGGCGGTAGACGTCGAGAGGAGACTGCACGAGATAGAATCTTGGCACGTCAAGGAGTTTGCGAAACTGCAGTCCCAGAAGATGGAGTTGCTGACAAGCATGCGGAAGAAAGATGATGAGCTTCTTCAGACAAGACAAGAGCTGTTAAGAGCTGCCCAAAGCGAAAGAGAAGCCCTCATGGTTGCATTCGAAGAGGAAAGGAAGAGAGTCCTTCCCTCGGTCAAGCATCCGACGCTCCATCGTTCCAGCCATCTTGGAAACGAGATTAGACATGTGGTGCAGGAGACCCTTTCTCAAAACGGTCCTGAAGCGAGTGCTGTCAGTCCGGCATGTATGCTTACCGGAAGTGGGGACTTCACGCAGCACTACGCTCAAGAAGCTCAAGGAATCTTTCTCCAAACTCCGCCAGCTTTCAGCGGACCGCCAAAAAAACTCCATTCCAGTGGGCAGCTGGAGACCAAGGCTGGTTCTGACGGTGATTTTGAATCAGTTTGTCAGCGTCTCACTTCATCAGAGACTCTCTGCCAAATAGCAATGAGATTAGCCAGTTGGAGACTGAGTCAGCTAGAGACGCGGCTGTTCCTCAAGCAGAACGCCGAGAAGCTGAATGAACAGCACCATCTGCAAGCAGGAAGAGCCGCGCTTTTCTGCTTGTTTCTTGCCTCAACCTCCGCCTTGTGCAGGAGGCAAGCGAAGGATGAAGAGACTCAGACCTCGTCCGATGCCTTGTTTCCGCTGGAGGAAGAGTGTGAAAGAGCACTAAGGGAGAATTTGGCGAAGTATAGCGAAGAACGAGAAGCTCAGTGGAAGCTTGCAGATTACCAACTCGTGAGAGCGCACCAGCAGGAGTCCGAGCAGCTGAAGAAGGCGGCGCAACAGTCAAAGCTGCAGGCGGAAGCTGAAGCAGAAAGCAAATGGGAAGCGACGGTCCAGAAGCTGCAGACGGATCAAGCTTTTGCAATCAAAGCGATGGAGTCGGTGGAGACCGAAAAGGCGCGGATGACGGAACAGCTGCAAGGGGAGCTCCGTGAGGAGGTGAAGAGGCTCGGCCTTCTCGTCAGCACGAAGGAGGCAGAGCTGAAGACCAAAGAAGCCCTCCGAGCGGCTGCCCGTGCAGAAGCGGACGAACTGTACATGAAGAAAGACATGCAAGAGGAGCAAGTCGAGAAGATGAAGGGGCGGTGGAGCAAACGGGAGCAAGAGCTGGAGGCAGAGCTGGCTGAACTCAGAGGCCGAGGCGCAAGAGAAGAGGCGGGCAAAGATTCCATTCCGGATGCAGCCTCAGTGACCTCTTTTGAGGCAGCCAACTGGGAGGACGAGAGACAGACAATGCTGGCGGAACAGACACGGGTCGTTCTTGCTGCTCAAGAGGCGCTGGAGAGTACGATCTCGAACCACGAACAAGAGAAGCGAGAGATGCTGGCGGAGCATGCGCGCGCTCTTGAAGAGGCACGTGCCGAAGCGGAGGAGTGGAAGCAGGAAAAAGCGCTGCTGCTAGAGAAGCGTCAGAAGGAACTGTCACAAGCCGTCACGGAGGCTACTGCCCGCCTGAGAGGAGAGTGGTGGAGGGAGCGGGAAAATCTAGAGGACCGGGCACAGCAGTCGCAAAGGCTGGCGAGAACCTTGAGCGACGACGTCGAGAGGAAAAGTGCAATGCAAGCTGCCATGCAGGTGAGCACATTCGGTTGCCTGAAATGTTTACCAGGTGATTTGTAGTTCGCCTACAATAGATGCTTCAATCGGCAGAATGCGAACGGCGGGGGAAAATTTGAGTTTGCAGCACTGAAAGCTCACGGCTCTTTTGCAAGATATCATTGCGTCAGCTGACTACTCAATGAAGCTTAACTCAAGTAAGACTCTCAATGCATTGAGTGACTGACGTGGATTTCATGGACTCGTGGTTCAAGTTACCACTGCGCCTGACTTTGACGTTTCCTTGCAGAGGAAGCTGTCTCGTCTTGAAGCCGACATGATCACCCTCGCGATTGCCAGGAAGACCGCAGAAGAAGCTGCACAGAAGGCGGAGGGAGAGCTTGCGGCGGCAGTTGAGAAGTACAAGGCCGAATGGAACGAGAGGAAGAGGATCTACAACCAGGTGAGCGGAAAGAACCCTCCGTCCAGAATATTGTTCTACTTGGATCACTGCGGCATATGAGATTTCATGCCACCCTCTCTCTCAGATACTCGGACTTCGCCTGAATCTTTTGACGGCCAGAAGACATTCCATTTTCATAAGTGATCTTAAAAGCGAGTCTAGCAGAAAGCTCGAACATAGTGTACGTATGACTTACGTTGAGTCTCTCATATGAGTGCGCCTCTTCTTCGAAGAGCTGCTAGATTTGTCAACTCAATCCTTCCCAATAGAGTTGAAGCGGCTATCTGTCACCCGTTTCGTGACAGAGTCCTCATTAACCCCCTGCAGCTGCAAGAACTCCGCGGCAACATCCGCGTCTTCTGTCGCATCCGGCCCCTGCTTCCGGACGAAGTGACGAAGAAGCAGCCGTCCTCGGTGACGCTGCTGGAAGGCCACAGCGTCGCCGTGCTCAATCCCGCCACCACCCGCAGCCAGACGTTCGACTTCGATCGGGTGTTGGGCGAGCACTCATCCCAGGCCCAAGTATTTGAGGAGGTGGAAGGGGTTCTCACGTCGGTCTTGGACGGCTTCCACGTGTGCATCTTTGCCTACGGACAGGTAAAGTACATAAATATTGCGTACCCGCCTTTCTCGGCATCATTTTTTGGGCCTTGTAACTTGTCCGGAGCGCCCTACAGAGCTGAGGTGTTCTGAGGCATTCAGAAGAACGAAAACTCGACATCTCCTCTTGTCAAATCTTGCAGACGTCTGTTGTTGTAAATCAGCTAGAGAATCATGAGCGACGTCAACATGCTCATTTCGTGAGGTCAGCACGTTCCTTCTCGTCCAACTTGCAGACCGGCTCCGGCAAGACGTTCACCATGACCGGCTCGTCTTCCGACCCGGGCATCAACCCGCGCGCGCTGACGTGCCTCTTTGAGAAGGCCCTCGAGCGCGCCCCAAGCTGGGAGTACAAGATCGAGGTGTCTGCGCTGGAGATCTACAACGAGAGCGTCCGCGACCTGCTGGCGCCGAAGAAGGGAAACTCTCAGGAGCACGCGCTGGAGATCAGGCAGGGCCCCGAGGGAGTGCACGTGCCGGGAGCGACGCGCCTGGAGGCCCAGGATCTGAGAGACGTCCTGAAGGTCCTGCACCACAGCATGGCCGCGCGCACCACCACGGCAACAGGGTGAGACTGGCAAGAAGTCTGAGCGGAGAGAAGCTTCTTCGCGTCGATCTGTCGAGTGACTTGGTTCCGGTGCGTAAGAGCTTGTGGTACTCTGCCTCTTGAAAAACGTACTGGTGGAATCTCGAGGCCTCATGAATTTCTAGTTCCACCTTCTCAAACTTGCTCGAGCCAAGATAGCATGCAGATCCGACAGACGGATCTACCCATCTATGCAGGATGAATGAACAGAGCAGCCGCTCTCACGCAATCCTCCTCGTCTCCGTCGTTGGAAGTAGTAGCGACGGCAGCCAGCAAACTCACGGGAGGCTTGTCCTCGTCGACTTGGCTGGCAGTGAGCGGCTCAACAGGTAAGCCTAGCCCCACCGGTAGGATTTCACGTCGTATTCCAACTCGGTATGCAAAAAAATTCATAGGCACCATCTTACCAACTTGAGTTAACGTCTCTAGCAGCTTCGCCCTGTGCTCACGTGGAATGACACTCTTTAGAATATTTTTTCTTTGCAAACCGAAGAGGCATGAGAAGCATCCAGACGGGATGGGTTTCAAATCATGACGAAATTCTTTCCACAGGACGGCCGTGTCGGAGGCCCTGCAGTTGAAGGAGACGCTGGCCATCAACAAGTCACTTTCCGCGCTCGGTGACGTCATCCATGCGCTTGCGAGGAAGGCCAAGCACGTGCCGTACCGGAACAGCGCCCTCACCTTCCTGCTCCAGGTGAACAAGCAGATCTATATTTTCGAGTCGGTAAAGAAAGTCTGAGCTGGGTGATAGCGTCCTGCGGCTGATCTACATTGCGGTGTTTGCGACATCAAAATCCTCCTGAGCAGGCCCCATGACAAGACCGGGATTTTTTCATGAGATTTGATGCACGTTGCTTCAAAAGGACCGCTCATTTGTATCTGGAGAAGGATAAACTTTTGGAAATGTTCTGTGGTATTACAGCTGTGGTCCTGAAACACGAGCAAATCAGGTAGCGGTCTAGTTGGGATGGCCTCCCACCGATTCTAATCTATGTCTTTGGAACGCAGGACTCTCTGAGCAGGGATGCAAAAGTGATCATGATGGTGCAAGCAAGTCCCGCCGCCGACGATGCTGCTGGTAAGTTGAACGAGATAACTGTATGAGAGATATTTACGAAGAGAATGCTCTTCTCTAGCCAAGCCGTTGACGCTTTTTGTCCTTATCTGCGCCCAGATTGCTCGACATGCAATTTGGTCAGATGTGATAAGCATTGTCCTCATCGAACTGTTGTTCGAAGTAAGAAGCTGACTCTTTCAGGGATTTTCAACTCCAAATATGGCAAGAAGGATGCCAATCGGCGATAGACTGACGGTTCTTTTTCGTCCGCTTTCTGTGCAGAGTCCATCTGCTCCCTGACGTTCGCCGGGCGAGCTCGCGCAGTCGAGTTTGGCCCAGGCAAGAAGCGCGCGAGCGGAGACCCGCTGTCGCCCGGATCGGCCTCAAAGCGCACCCCGGTCAGCGCGCGCACTCCGCCGACATCCCCCCCACACGCAAGCGTGATGTCACCCACCCGCAACTTGCCTCCAAGTGCGCCCAGAACCGCGCCATTTGGCAGCGGCAGGAAGAACGTCCGCAACGGGGAACCGACCGCCGCCGTGGAGGGGTCTCAGGGCTTCGGACGTCCGGCAAGAAGCGAGCCAGTTCGGTCGAATCCAAGCCCCAAGGAGAGCATAGCCGCGCAGCCGGCCGCGGTGCGAGTGGCGAAGACGGTCAGAATCGACTCAAGCGGAAGGTACTCCAACCCGTGTTCCCCAGAACCGGAAGAGGAGGGCTTGAGCCTGGAGACGGCTCTGTCGGAGATGCAGGAGTGCGCGAGCCCCAACCCGATGATCACCCCCACCCCTGCAAAGTTCCTGGTCACGGAGCCTAACCTGGAAGAGGAGAGCGGGTCCTCGGCAAAGCGGCAGCTGGTCTTTTCGGCAGAGGCGCAGACCTGGGAAGGCGCAACGGGTCTCAAGGGCGGGTCTGAGCCTGCAACGGTGGCGTCTTTCTCCGAGGTTGGTGTGGCCCTCGCGGAAGAGCTCAACTTAGCTGACGTGGACCCGATCGCGCTGGAGGGGGCCGACGATGATCTTGTTGGAGGCGGGGAGCTTGCGCTGAAGAAGGGGGCAGAGGAAAATGTTCAGCGCGAGCAGCTCTCCCAGCCTGTTGTGGAGATGGCAGAGGAGGAGAAAGCGGCGGAGGACAGTGCCGAGCGGAACGAGGGTGACAAAGACGCGAAGAGAGAGGAATTGATGGACACAGGAACGGGGCTTCCGGAAACGAGTCAGGAACCAGAGGCAGACGAGAAGCCGGCTGACTCACGTGATGACGTAAATCTGAAGGGAGCCTTGCTTCGCAATTCGGACGCGCCTATCGAGCATATTGAATTCGGCGCTTTGGCTGCTTCTAACCTGAGCAGTGGCAGCCCCAACAAGCCCGGGCGTTCGGTTGCAAAAGCGATGGGCGCATCTACTACCTCTTCTCAAGCAAGAAAGAAGCCGCGGCCTGATGACGATGTGGAGATTGACCCGGCACGCTCTCCAACAAAAAACTCAGCCGGCGACGGGTCCATCACATCACCTGCAAAGGCCAACATAAGTCGTTCGGCAATCAAGTCGCCTATCCAGAGCAAGGTAGTTCTTTCAAGGAAAGTGTCCTTCAAAGTAGATGGCAACAGCTTGTTGAAGAGCATCTAATCGCACTAGAAGTGCGCAGTAATTGCCCTATCATCGTTTGCATCAGTCTAGATTTGTCCAAATCAGCTTAGTTTGAAGATGGAAGCTGTAGGTCCAAAGACTTAGGTTCAGAGGACACTGGTTGGTTTTCCCTTGGATAGGCATTTTACTTCACGAGGTGGCTGCGCTAATACTCTAGGTCAACCACAGTAGGATCCTCCTCCCCACTTTATTTTGGTTCTGCGAAATTTGTTTGTCAGTAGATCTCACATCTCAAGCTGCGCAGATCAAACATCGAGCGCATAAGCGGGGCGACCGTATCATCATTTTTAAGTCTGCAGCAGCCAGTGCAATCCGACCGTGCTACTTGTGTGGTTCCGATGTGCAATGTCCTGAATTGCAGCAATCAAAGATCTTGAAAGCTTCAATATACACCACGTTCTATGCACTGACGGCAACTTGAGGTGAACGTCTAAACATACATTTGCAATGTAACACTCTGCACTCTGTTCACGTCAGATTGGGACCGTCTGTGCTTATAGAACCAGACGTGCATCTCTTGCGGGGTACGTATCATTGCTTGCAAATATCTGCCATTGCAAACGCATTCCACATGGTTGATGAGTTGCGTATATGCAGTACGATTCGCTGCATGCGCGCACAGTCGAAAAGTACATGAGACAACAAAACTAGTAGGCGCGCTACAACTGTCCATCCACGAAGTCTTGCCACGAGCTTGGCTGGCAGGGAAATTTGCAATGGGAGCGCACGCCGTCCCAGTTAACAGGACGCTATTCGGCCACAATCTTACATAATATTTCATGACAAATTTCGATTATAGCATGCACGTTCAAAATGACGTGCGTTTTCAATCAATGCAATTCCGGGCTGCCATGTGCCCTAACCGGCACCTTACACGCTTGTTCACGTCATCAAAGGAAGGAACGGCCGTGCGTAACAATTGGATATCTCATGCAGCGGCCTTTCATGCATACAAGGCCGGCTTTCCTCGCGTGACCCTTCCTCTCGTCCAGGAAGGATACATGCCAGGTTCTCGATAACAGAGATCAAGCCGTATCAAAGACAATTGCAACTTCACTTATTAATGAGACGACTTCTACCGAGGTTTATTCTACGAGTCTACAAATGTCGGCAACTGCGAGCAACGTCTACCCCTAGAATCTATACATGTCGCATTTCCAACGGTACCTACTTCTTCGCGCCTTCGTTCCTGATTTCTTGATACAAGCTGTCAATCTCTTTCTGGTAATACTTCAACATCTTAGGTCGCTTGATTTTATAGGTGGGTGTCAATAGATCCCTTTCCATATCGAGGGGCGTAGGCTCAACGACGAGATTTTTGATGAACTCGAACCCCTTCAGCTGCACAGGCAACCAAGACGAAGTGCTTACCACTATATCCTCTCTTTGAAGGAGCGGCTCTGTGAGCTTTTTAAGGACGCAGCTTGACAACTTTGGTGCAATGCTAAAAAAGACTGCTGACGATCGCCCCATAGACAACTTGAGCTACCTTTATCGCAAAGCTCATCCAAAGAAAGAGGCACAAGATGGACCGAATCCTCCGCTCATCGCTCGCGGAGGATGTTCAGTTTCCTGTCACAATCAGCTTACCTTCTTCGCCTGCGCTGTCGTTTTCAGCTGCTCGAGTATGTGTTTCTTCGTGCGGGGGTCCCTGCACAGCTGCTCCCACTCGAGCGAGATTCCCTGCGACTCGGCCCAGTCTTGGAGGGGACCTTGCAGGGGGACCACCACCGCCACCAATGCGTACTCGTAACTGTTGCCGTACACCCAGATCTGCGCCAAGCGGAGAGCGGTGAGCCCTCTTCCGGATAACACGTTGTCTAAACGCTTCTCTAGCGGGAGCTAGAAATGGAACCCACAGGCGACGCCCTGGTCGAAGACAGACACCTCGTTTCCAACTTGATTCCAAATACTGTGGACCAAAACTCTGGCCAACAATGGTCTCACCGCCACATTTGTCAACGTCATTGCAAAAGTCCTGGGAACAACAGTCACCCGCTATATGGCAGGGGGATCCTGCTTTGACGATGGTTTAAAAACCAGAAACTACAAAGTGCGGGCGGCCGGTGCGTACCGCTTCCACCCCCGGGGTGGAGCCGTAGACGTTCTCCAGGTTCTCGGCGGCCACGTACTCGCCCTGCGCCAGCTTGAACATGTTCTTCTTGCGGTCGATGATCTTCATCGTGCCGTCCGCCTGCCACTCGCCCACGTCGCCTGCATGCAGCGCACCACGTCAGCTCCAGCGACATTCCCTCACCAAACCGAAACAGCCAAGCGACCCGCAATTCGTCACAAGCCCACCACGATAATCCTGCAGCGAGAAATTGTTTTTGAGGGGACCCTTAAAGTCACGGTCTGCGTCCTCCTGGCCTAACACAATACTGCAACGCACCGCAGGTTAGCACAAGGGTGTCTGGGACGCACCAGTGTGCAGCCAACCCTCTTCGTCGAGCGCGTCCTTGGTCAGGTCCGGCCGCTTGTAGTACCCGGTGAAGATCGGGGGCCCCCGCAGGCAGACCTCCCCCCGGGGGGGCGTGCCGAGCGGGTCGTATTCCATGTCGGGGACGGCCTCGAGGCGGCACTCCTGGTTGGGGAACACCACGCCCACCGTGCCCGTCTGGTTGGCGTTGGGGATCGCCACGAAACTGCCGGCGCACGACTCGGTCAGGCCTGGCAGGCAACGGAGAGCGGGTCAGGAACAGGGCTGCCACTGAAAAGGTGTCGTGAGTGAAGAAGGGCCGGCATCAGATACGGAATCTTTTTGGTCCTTGACGGACACTTCCAACCCTGTTCAGCAGATGGATTAAAGGTACAGACGTCCGTGAGGCCTCTCAACATCCCCGCCTCGTGAAGCTCACTAATGTTGCAAGTTAGGAAATTGGCAAATATGAGCAGATTCGTAAGCGCTGCACCAGCGACATCAGCCCTGACAAACGTCGTTCCAAATCCGCATGGGTGTCTGCGCCGTCAGGTAAAGACCTGAACCACAGTGAACCAAGTTACTCTGTTAAACCAAGCTCGACGATCCGGGTATCGTCGCACAAGACGGTGCTATTTCGAGTAGTGCAAGCGAGGGTCTATCGGAAAAGCGCTGCGCACCGTAGCCCTGCACGACCGGGCAGCACATGGTCACCCGCAGGAAATCCTCCACGTGGCGTGCCAGGGGAGCTCCTCCTGACAGGATGACACGTACTCGGCCACCGAGGCGCTGCTTAAACTGCGTCAGCAAAGCAAAAGCGAACGCTGCATCAGCCGGTCGCTCGTCTCGCGAATGCGGCGGGAGGATACGAAGTACAAGCTCCTGGCGGCAGTAGCTTTTGATACACCAGCAGCACAACTGCAGCCACGCCGTATCCAATCCGCAGCCCAACTTTGAGCACTTGGACAAGACTTCGACCCCTTCAATGATGCATCTGCGACAAGTAGGCGGCGAAGCATCGACGTGTTTCAGAGAGGCACTGCTGCTTCTGAACTACAGGTGGAACAGCCTATATCGCGCATGCTAAAACGTCGTTGAGTTGCTCACTTTCGAGAAGACGAGGTGATCTAGAAAGGGCGTCGCTTTCTCGAAGCTGCTGCCGCCATCAAGGGCCGCCTTTTTCCTGCACGAAGACACAAGCTTCGTTGCTGAGTCCACGGGCTTTCAAAGGCTCTCCAATGATTGCTCCATTCCACTCAGTCAGTCTCGTCCAGCAGATACTGGGCAACGGATTCATTATTTATGCTGAGAGCCGTCTTTACCAGACAACCCAGTCGAGGAGCATATTGCATGTAAGCGCAGCTGCCGATCGGGTCCGGTCATGAGGGCATGGAATCACCTTGAAAACCCAAACTTGTACAGTAGCTTTGTGATGAAGCTGCCCGCCTGCACCTTCGCCGTAGCTCCTGCACAAGATATGCACGTATAGCCAGCGTGGCGCAAAAGGGGCCCCCGAGCTTCAAGATCGGGGAAGTCCCATTTGCAAAACGGATTTGCGAGTCTCACCACTCAAAGCAGCAACAATGCCAAGCAGTGCACTCCTCAAAACACCTTTCCAGAGCTTCTCGTCGAAGCGACATCTCGTCCACGAAAAAGGTCCGAACAGATTTTTACGACCAATTCTCTGCCAATTTCAGCGTCTCAGCCAGCCTCCGGCTCCTCACCGTTGTACACGCGGTCAAACACGCGGGGGACTCCGCAGAAGACGGTGGGCTTGGCCGCATCCACGTCATCCAGCAGCAGCTTGACGTCACCCTGCCAATACGCTATGGCGGCCCCGTGGTAGAGCATGGCCTCCTCGACGACCCGCCCGAAGATGTGCGCCAGCGGCAGATACGACAAGTACAGGTCACGCTCCGACAGCTGTACACCAATAGCGGGGCGAATGAGTCGAGGCCGAGTCGAGAGGGCAACAACGATTCTGAGATACTGGGGGAAGGGAGGTAACTCACACAGCACTCACTTCTCGAAACCGGACAAATTACTGCAGTCGGTTTGAAACGGCTTGCGGGAGTCGGCGGCGAAGCTTCGGCCAAGCTTCGTCAAAAAGAGCAGGTCGCAGGATCGGACGATGACGATAGATCGACAGCCATGGATACACGCAAATCGGCATGTTTTAAGGCAACAGAGGTCCAGATGGCCAGAAAGCAAAGGTTCTACTTTCAAATGCGAAAGCCGTCGAGGGGACTCTAACTCAGGAAAGCAAATGAAAAGGTCCAAGGGGCGAATCTCACGAAGAACTTGGCATACTGGAGGTCTTTGGTGAGCCCCGCAATCGTCGACACCAGGTTGGAGTGCTTTAGAACCACGCCCTGCAATGGCGGAAATAACATCCGTTAAATTGGCGGCACTGCAAGCACCTCTATGAGCACGCCCACTACGATGGAAGAAATACATACAAAACAAGCAACGGCATCATAGGCTCGCTCTTTCGTGTCATAAGCTCGCTCTCTCGTGTCCCTCTAGAGTAGCGGTCGTGATCCACTGCCTTCACATGTGCAGAAACGGCTCAGGCGACTCGAAAGAGGGAAGCTTCTCTACAGCCAAACGGGCTCACTTTCGGCTCTCCTGTTGTTCCGCTGGTGTACATGATAGTTGCGATGTCGTCCGGATTTGGAGCGTGGGGCTCAAAAGGCTTCTCCCTTCCCTGCAGCCAGTAAAGCTTAAAAGTCACCACAACGAAAGTGCTAATGTGAGTTCTTCGAGTTGTAGGAACACGACTGCAACGCTTAACATCCTATGGAAATCATCCACTAAAAGACCACGTTTTGAACAACGTTGCATTCCCCGACAAAGTAAGTTCCTCTTGACGGGCTCAGCCAGCCTACTCACCATGACCAGAAGGTCGTCAAACGCATATGCCTTCAGTCCTCTTGCCTCGAGAGTGCTCTTTGCCTCCGCACTGAAACTGCCCAAGCTGATCACAACTGCATAGACAGAATGGCGCTCATGCATACATTGACTTCGAATCGTCTTTCCCTGTTTGGCACCGCTGAGAAACGGGAGAACAATCTGTAGAGGTATGGTTGTAAAAAAGACTTTCATGATATCTTTCCTGAGAACGAGACAATCAAATGACCAACAAATGTAATCTGCGCAACGCACGTCCTTCTCAATCTATGGTCGCACAGGGATGTCCCTACCTTTCACGTGGTTGTTGCACTTTGGCAGGGCCTCCAATAACTGCGCACAGCAACCAGAGCAGATCAGCAAAACAAGCCTGTAGCAGAATTTCTCTGACCCTCCTCGCAGACTATGCGTCTCATACCTGTACAGTGTCTGGAAACTTGACGGCCCCAGCTCAGGATTTGTTGGCAAGATTGTTGCCTTTGGTTCAAAGGCATCCGAATAACCTCACCTTGGACAGACTGCTCTCCTGGATGAAGATGGTGCTAATCTCGGCATGGTTGATGATAAACTCGATGGCTTGAGGGCCTACACAAAAAAGAGTTCCATCTATTCAGCTGTCACCCAGTCAATGCCGCTGACAACAAGTCGCCACCGGGGCATCTTCTGGTTTTTAAAAAGACAATTCCCGTGTGAGTCCAAGTCATACAACTGCAATATTGTGGCCATCGCTCAGACTCCTCACTAGCTTCTCTATGCCTGGTGACCCGCTTACCCAACGTGTCATAGAGCGGGACAGAGTAAACAGTGAGCGCATTGCACGCTTGCATGGCCAGCATCCAGGTGGGGGTGTTGACTCCATAAATGCCACACGTGCTGTGCTGCAAACGAAACGATGTAGGTCTGAGTTCATACCCAACCAAGCCATCGTCAGAGCAGCCCACTCTCAAAGGCTCCACATCCACTACTCACTTTTGTCAAACCAAGGTCGAAGTAGCTAGTCACCCAACATGCATACTGTCACATAGGGTGTTCCTCAAGATAGCACTGTAGATCCAGCGTTTGAAGCTTGTGGGATTTCTGATGGCGCAGACAGAAGTCAGATTGTATGGCTTACAGGTTGAACGCCGATGTACTCCAAGGACCCTGCCAGCACGATTGCTTGTCGGAAGGCCTCCTTGTATGACAGGTACTCAAATGGGCCAGCCTGCAGTATGTTGGCCTATGTCATCACCCCATGAGAACAAACTCAAATTGCATTCAAATCCATACTCCTAAGGTCATTGACAAGTACCATAAGGCTGATGCCCATCAGCGCAACCGGGAAGCATTACAACATATGAGACTTGAATGATGCGCAATATTCAATGCCCCAAGCAGAAAACTTCTGTGATGATGGCTTGCCTTTCCGTCCACCACTTTCCTCTGCCCAAGACACGGCATGTCGGCATATTTCATTGCAGAGTTGCTGCAAGGGATGATAAGGCAGTTTCTAACGTTCAATAAGCGGCTAAGCAGCGTGAAATTAGACTTTTCAGAGCTCCTTTCAGGATTATCTGCATGCCTCCTGCATCTACTAATAGATTCTTGCTGGTCTTACAGCCTACACTCAATGAACGAGGCTCCACAATGCATTGCACTTCTGATGAATCAAATACGTACACGGCGATTGATGACAAGTCTCGGCAGAGTCACCTAAAGCTCTTCTGAGATCTGCAGAATCAGTGTTTGCAATGCATGCAATTACGCCATCGACAGCAGGAACATCCGGTCATGGCTCACCTGAAGAGCTCATACAAAGTGGCTGCGCTCCCCAGCTCAGGAAAATCTCCCTTCCCCACCGACAAGTGGCGATAAGTTGGACCCACTGCTGGCCGATTGCTTCTCGCAGGCTCCCCGCCAGCCACCTCCACCGTCCAGACCTCCGGAAAAGAGCCTTTCATGTTTCCCCGTCGGCTGTGCACGATTCCTGCTGCAATGCCGGCAGCCAACACCACCAAAGCTGGTGCAGCACACATCAAGTTTGTGACAAAGTTAAATAATCCAAGGATCATGTACACAGAAACTTAGCTGCACCACTCTCACGCCTCTCCCGAAGGCCAAGGTGCAAGCTACCTCATACGGGCAGTACCTCCGCCTTCGAATGGTGCCAAGCTTGCGATGAACACATGAGGACACCACGGCAAACGGCGCCTGCATGACCTCTGCATTGCAGGAGAGCAAGTTCCGAGCTCGCGGTCCGCCATGAAGCTGCACTTCCGTTCCTTGACGTCAGCTTGTCCGCCAAGTGTGCACAGCGGGCCACGTGACGTGCACGCTGCAGCACTTGCGCGCAAAATGCTGACTCCGTGGTTGAGCTCGCTCTAGTTAGCCTAGCCGACTGCACTGCATGAGGGAGCGCTTTGAGATTGCAGCTTGCTTCAAGTTTTGCTAGCTACCTACTGAGTTTGCATGGGCGTCTAAGCTGAAAAGAGCATCTAGAGCAGATACGTAGCCATTGAGGGGAGGGAGGACGGGGAGGACCACCGCCAATTGTTGCAGGATTCTCTGCTAATGTAGATGGTGTGCATGTTTGAATGCTTTTGCACGTCGCTAGAAGCTGACCAGGATGGAGTTGCGCTCAACAAAAGGCGTGTGCAAAGGCAATGCTGGACACCACCGCCGGCTCTGACTTCTTACTAGCTATAAACTGGTTTAGAGGTGAGTCGACGAGTCCCCTGTGATCTCATGTACCACACCACTTACACTCTGCTGGGCCTTGTGCAGCTGGCGTCTTTCAACAAAAAGCTGGATACTGGAGGCGAGATATTGGAAGCTGCACATCCTTTGTTGGTCGAACATTTTGTCTCACAAATGAGTGAGCTGGTGTGTTGAGTAGTGGAATGCCTTCATAAGATTTTTTCAAACAGCGCTTCTCAATGTTGGCTGTGAGTGTGCCGGCATTGTTAAGAGCAGCCCCTGCATACAATTGTTGGGTTTTGATGGGGCGATTTGTGGCGAGAAAGTCTGGTGCACTCCTGATACAGCTGGTGGCTTAATTCGTACTCAGGCGCTGAATTGAGCGACCTGGCAACAAATTCTTCCAGCTGCCATAAGGTTTTTGTCCCTTGCTTAACTCAAGGACAATGTCACTTGGTGCCAGTATGCGCGTCTAACACTTGGCAGAGTCCAAAGTGGAAAGCCCTCTCAATTACCTATATGCTCGGCCGCACTTTTTGGCAACAAGTGCCTCTTGATTCTCTGATGGTGTTCTTTAATACTATATTCATGCAGGATTGTAACTGGACTGACTCCATGCCACTACTCAGCCGTACAACCTAGGGCCCCTCTGTCTTCACAATGCGTCACTTTCAACATTGCAGACACATGGAGCGTGAGACTCTGGTGCTGTGGACTGTCACCCGGTTGGCCCTGGGAACAGGGGCTGCGGGCCTGCTGGCAGTCACAGCCATTGCCCAATTGCGGAAGACGAAAGCCAGGGCAAAGAGGCGCCAGCGGCTGCGGGGGCTGGCACCCATCTTGCAGTACCAACACAATGGGAGCGTGAGCGGCATCGAGCCCTTTGGGGAGTATGCAGGTGAGCTGAAATAGGCAATATTTATAGCCCTGGGTGGAAGGGCCAAGTGGTTATAGAGCTGGTTGCTATTTTCTATATGTTTCGCAATTTTTGGTAGAGCCAAAGCCCCATCTTGTGTAAGAGTCTCTGAAAATAACGTGTGCTAAGACGAACTTGGAAACTACTCATCGCCCGCATGCTTCCGAGGTCATGACTTTTTCAACCAAAGGTCACGTCCGACCAGAATATGATGTCACTACGTTGTCACTACGTCCGAGAGAATCTGGTTTACTTCTCAAGAAATTCTGGTCATAGGAGTATGCAATTTGTGCATAAAGGATCCAGCCCCCCATGCGCAAAGTATCTTCATGCAGGCCACAAGCGCTCTTATCCCCGCATGTCCCTGTTGTTACAGCGCGCCAGGTGGGCCTCCAGCCGTGCGACGTGTGCTACGACGCCTTCAAGAAGGTGGCGGAGCACTACGTGCAGGGCAACAAGAGCAAGGGTGATACAAGCCGCGACGAGCTGATGGCGCTGGCGGTCGACGCGTGCTCGTGCTTGAAAGAGGACATGATTGGCGGGCTCACGCAGGACCTGGTCAAGGAGCTGGACGCGTGCATCCTGTCGTTCTTTGCTTTCCATTGGGACCACGCCGACATGCTCCTTGCGGCTGCCAGCGCAGTGTGAGTTCCCTTGATATGGTTGGCTAGGGAATTGCGCGCTTCCGTAGCTTCTTCTTTGAGCGACGTATGCCGCGATGTTGCATCTGGTGATAGAGGAGGGGACCAGTTTGTGGGTGAGTGTACGAGACACTTGCTTGTTTAGTCTTTGTAATCAGCATGAGTGGTTGATCATTGAAGAACCATTGCAAGAACGGAGTCGATGGGCGACCTGCTTTTGTTACATACTCAAGCGGTGGTCGTCAAATTCTCGCGCACTGCCCCATCCTAGCCCCAAATCGTCGTTGCAGGGAGCCGAAGCGGCACAGCCTGAAGCGCGCGGTTCTGAGCGCGACCCGCACCCAGCGCTACAAGCAGCTGCTGCGCTCGCTGGGTCCTCAGCGCCAGTTCACGACCCTGGTCCAGCAGCTCAAGCGGCTGCGCACCGGTGAACCTGCGGACTTGGATCACGTCAGCGACAAGGAAGTGGCGGCGCCTGTGGAGGAAGGTCATCGTAGCCCAGTCATCTTGTTCATGGCGGGGGGGATGGGAGCCGGGAAGAGCACGGTCAGGTGAGCAGCACAAAGACCCGCAGGGTGTCTGTGGTCTTCGCCCTTTGTCTTCGGTCTCAGGTGACATCTTCAGTGATTGTCGTGTCGTTTCAGCACTCTGAGCACGGTTGTCGTCAGTTTCATATCGGGCCAGTCTGAGGTCCACTTCGATCGTTGCTCCGATCCCATAGTCCATCGGTTTCCCTGACCTAACAGTAATGCAAGCATTTGACGAAGTCAAGTCCGCCCTACCCTCGTTTACCCTCGTTATCAAGGCGTTCTAAACTACTGAGGAATTGGTTTTTGGCCCAGCCTGAGGGCCCGGCTCTGTGGCGATGCAGGCAGGAGCTGATGCAGGGGACATTCTGGAGAAAGTTTGCGCCCCGGGCAGTGGTCGTGGAGGCGGACGCGTTCAAAGAGACAGATGTGGTCTTCCAGGCGCTCAGCGAGCAAGAGGGAGGTGCGGAGAATCCCCTCAGCCGTCCTTCGATTGATTAGGCCTCTGAACATTCCCCGGACACCTGGGAGTCCTATTTTCGGTTGATGAATCGCTGTCAAATTCCCCGTTGAGGCAGAAACTTTATTTGACACGTCAACCTCTTTCAAGGATGCTGACGACGAATCTATGGATCGACGACATTCTGGGATGATGTTCTACTCTCAGATCGGAACCTCGCAGAATGAAGTCAAAAACTTTCGATTTTTTGCCAACTCGCGGACGAAGCCGTCCCCTTGCCTACAGGAGTGGATCCCGAGACTGCGGCCCTGGTCCACTCGTCGAGCGTGAAAGCCGCGCTGTCGTTGCTGGTGGCGGCCATCAACGAGGGGCGTGACATCATCTTCGACGGAACCATGAGCTGGGAGCCTTTCGTGGCGCAGACGATCGACATGGTCCGTGATGCGCACCTGCGGCGCTACCGCCTGGGGCCAGGATATCAGAAGAAGCCCTTGGTGAGTGTTGTCGGTTCCCTTTTCTCGCTGCTTGGTTCTTCCGGTTTGTCAATTGGACGCACAGAGAGTTTATCGTTGTCTTGGTCGCTGCGGAACGACCTGTTTGATTGGCCAGATTCGGACATGCGAGAGGTTTGCATGCTGTTGCGGGCTGCAGTTCTTTGCATCGACAGTCGTCTTGACGTCTGGTTGTCTTGACGTTTGGGTTGACGGCTCCGCTCAAGTAGAGATATCTTTTGAGAGAGGAAAACCTTTCATGCACTTGTCAACAACCTGGCTGCGAGATTGAAAGTTCCACATCGAGATGGCCGATTGCATTCGTGCACGCGATAGCATCGACGTTATCAGAAATCATCGCTGCACCCTTTGGCTGGAGTCTGAAGGCGTCCTGCCCTTTGCTGTTCGGCGATGCAGGAGCAGTACTGGGAGGCGATGCCGGAGGACGCGGACATCATGGAGGAGATGCGCGCGCAGCAGCAGAGCCACGTGCGCGCGTACGACAAGACGCAGGCCGAGTCGCGCGGCTCCAACGGGGAGGACGACAATGGGGAGGAGTCGGCTAGCGAGCCGACAGAGAGCGAAAGCGCCATGAAAGCGTCACAGTCGAGCCAGAGCTTGAGCGGCTTCTCGGAGGCCGCGGCGGGGATGAGGGGCAGCAGCTTTAGAAGCACCGGGGGATATAGCGAAGGTCAAGCGGAGAGCGGAGAGAACGGCGCGGGAAACGGCACTCGGAGCAGCGATCGAGAAGTGAAACATGCTGATAGAGACGGTCAGAGTGAAGCGAACGGTGCTGAGGACTCTGAGAGCAGGCAAGACGGTGACGAAGTGGTGTCTGGTGAGCAGGGGGACTCAAAGGAGGGTCAAGACTCTTTACGAAGATCGTCGGGCCATTGGGCGCACGTCGAGGGCACCACCCTCCGGTCGAATCAGCCGTCTCAGGGGCCGTCCGGGTTCTCGAAAAGAAACGGGGCAGCGCCAAGGAAAGCCGGACCGTCTGCCGGTCCAGATTTGGACCATGCAGAGAAGCAGCAAGGCCCCGCAACCAACGATGCAGGCCATCGGCCCGGGCTGGTGCAGACTGGCGCTAGAAATGGCGTGCAGAAAAGGAGGCCCTATCGAGTGGAGATGGTGGGCGTGGCCTGCGATGCAGGGCTGTCGGTGGTCAGGGGGATGAGGTGAGACAGGTGCCAAGTTCAGCTCGCCTCTGTGTGGCACGCCGGTGTAGACAGTGCTGGAGAATTCAACCAAAGCTTTTGCATCTGCTCTTTGTATCTATCAGGTGAAAATCGAGATGCTCGATTTCACAGGTAGCGCCGCACTCAGGTGATGCAGAAACGTCTTCGACGCCGAAGGGAGCTCGAAGTAGTTAGCAGGGTCACAGCTACTACCGTCCACTGTCGTGTATCTCAGTGGATCTGCGAAGCCGTCCTTCGGATTTTGTTGGAAGTCTGAAATTTCATGAGAGACCCTGCCACTATCCGCTCGAAGCCAGTGCCGTACTGAGGGCTCCCTAGGATCAGCGAAGCTGATTCTCTGCACGCCTCTCCTGTGGCAGGCGCGCCATCCTGACCGGCCGCGGCGTGCCCATCGAGGCGCAGCTGCGGTCGCACCGCATGTTCGCCGCCGCGTTCGAGCGCTACGCGTGCCTGGTGGACCGCGCGTCGCTGTACGTGACCAACGGCTTCGGCAGCGAGCCGGAGCTGGTCGCCCTTAAGGACGGCCTCGAGAACCGGCTCCTGGTCGACCCGCCCAGCATCGCCGGCTTCCGCCAGCTGTGCTACCTCAACGAAAAGGCGACCTCGGTGGCTGCGCTGTACAAGGAGGAGTGGGGCTACGGCTGCGGCGGGAGTCGAGATGACACGGGCGCGTTCGGCGGTGCGTGGGCCAAGGCGGTGCTGTGCGAGGAGCGGCACGACCGGCAGGCGCGGCTGCAGGAGGCCTTGCGCGGGATGGACTTCTGCAGCCTGAACCAGGCGGCGCACTGGGAGGGGAAGCAGGGCCATGCGCACAAGTCGGGCAAGCATGCGAAGAAGTGATGGACACCGTATGGGTTTAGATACATTTAAGCTGACAATTATAGTGGACTGCATGAATTAGCACTGACTGATTGACTCTTCCGACGTGAGATGGGCTGATGCTTCGTGATTTGTAGAATATCGGTCCGCTTTTAGAGTCCTGGTATGCGCGAAGTAGCGGAACATTTTTGCACCAGAGATCATGCATGTTCGCTTCTAGTGAGCCTTCATTACATTTGCGCATATGATTGACTGTTTTGTGACGAAGTTTCGGATCTTGCAGCCGATGTAGGGCCTTTTAGAGACGCTGCCGTTACATGAGCCATATTTGGCGGTAGATCGCCGATTACATGCTTTCCGCGTTGAAGGTCGACATGGATGGACATTGTTTCATGCAGAAGTACCTCGTATTAAAGGCCAAGTCAAGCAGCATCCATCGTATACTAGATCAAACAACATGCACATGCGCTGGTCGTGTGCTTCGAACACAAAATCGGCCATGCTTATTGTCCTCGTACAGAAAGCGTGCTTCGTGACTGGTGTTAGTAATGTGCAGTGGGATCTCTTCTGATGCTTTGACATATTCCGGCCTCGTCTCCGAATCCCTATTATTTGAGGGCCGGCCAGATGCGTAGCTACGTGTCTTTTCGGGGTCCTTTTTGAAGCTTCTATCCACTGCACACATAATCATAAGAATAGCGAGTTCCATGCAATCAACATACTTGCGTTTAGCTTTACCTGTACAAATCAACGTAGTCCAGCAAATAATTTTTTGGGGCGCATATATGGAGTTTGGTTGCAGAACGCTAATTCCAGCCGTTGTAAATAGAAGACTAATGATCGTAACACGCCTTTGCAAAGTAGTAATGCTGTACTTACCTTTGTAGATTCAATGACTGCGTTCCATCACTGACCCTGACCTCTTTATAGTTAGCACTATATCTATAGCTAGCCTTTGAAGTGCAAACCTACCATGCAAGCAATGCGTAAGAGCTGCAGTTCGCAAACCTCATATCTTGAAAGGATGACCTGCACAATTGAAAGGGCTGCGGTCGGAATGCTGAAAGAGAGCTATCCCCGTGTCGACGGCTGTGACATGACAGTTTATGCGCTCAGGGCTTGTCGTCATCATCGGTCAATCTTCGAGCAGTGTCTGATCGTGCGCACTCTTGCTCAGATAAGATTGTACGAGGCAACTTGATTGTCAAGTCAACCTGTGGTACTGTCTCAGACAGAGTGTAAGCTTATGCAGACCGTCCGATCATGGAGATCGTCGGCTGTGAAGCTGGATGGGAGTCACAGACGATTTAGATGCGCTCACCCTTGCTGATCAAAGCAATCGAGGCTGAAGCACCAGGAGAAACAGCTTACGAGTCATGCGGACAGGTGAACCAGCTGAAGAGAGCAGCTCAAGCGCAAGTGTTTCTTGAAAGCGATGGCAATTCACTCTTGTAAGAATCATAGTGGTGCTTGGGATCTGTCCAGGTGAGCGGTGACTCTCAGCTTTCATCAGCATGGCGCCACGCTGGTTAGAAGGCAGCTTCGAGAAGTCGGCGGAAGACTGAGATTTGAGAGTCAAATTCTGCAATTCCGCGTAAGATAGGCATGATGAGGTTGAAGGATCTAAAGTCGAACGGAAGTCTAGGAGGAGCGTTTCGAAGACCTTGCGATCAATCCCTTCGTCCAGAATCATGGTCTTGTCTCTTATCAGATCAACCACAGCATATCTTGCCTAAACCATCCTTGTTGCTGGGGGCCAGATAGACCGTCCTTTGCTGGTCAGCCAGACAGAAGACAAGATGAGAAAGCATTGACATGAGGAGCTTCGGATGAAAGACATAGATAACACGAGCTGTCATTGGCGTTGCTTTTTCTCGTGGCGTTTCCCTTATATGTGAATAAAAGTACTTGCATGTTGGATCTGCGAGTAATAATTCTGACCTGTCTAAGTGGCGCCATTGCATGCAGCTGATATGACTGCGCATTGTCCTCGAGCCAATGTCATTCGGAAGGTCAAAACGGGGTGATCCATGGGATGTTCCTGTGGCGGACAATGACATTCCAGGTATGCGGGCCTTAAACCTCATTACTCTCCTTCGGTATGCCTTCAGGGTATAGGTAAGCATCCTGAGTGTTCTGCTGGTGATTCGCAGAATCTTGTTCTGAAGTAAGTCTGTACACGGGTTTGCAGGGCGTGCCTGGAAGGAGGAGCTTGTTATGACCCCTGCGACTTCATCCGATGCAGGCCCAGGAACATACTCACTAGAATCTTCAACCATCGCTCATTCCTCTGCCGGTAGAGACTGTGGGCTGAAGGCAGGAGACAACAGAGTGAAAGTCTTGTCTGAGAAGCCGTCAGTTCAGTGTGAATTTCACCACGGCAAGGTGCGTACTTCGTTTGTAAACCACCTTACTTGTTTTGAGTCTTTTGCTTCGGCTTTGCTTTGATACACTGGGGCTCAGAGCAGACATTTTTTGGGATGAGACCGGCCAGATGCCCAGAGAATGCCAATCTTCCTGCGTCTATCCGTTGTTGTGGATTTCTCGATGCGACATAATCCGTGAATCATGGATCAAGGATGATAGGAGTTGGGCAGCCAGTTTCTTGCAGGACATCTGGAGTGCTGGGAACTACATTGACAGGCTTTACTTTTCTTTGCAGGGCAAGTCTCTTACAGTTCGTGAGTTTCTGAAGAGGTCACAAGGTGTTGAAAATCCTGGCTCCATGGCATCCTCGGAACCGGGAGAGCCTCCATCGGAGGTAAGCGAACTTCGTCATCCTAAAAGGTCTTGATGACGAAGATAGAATTCGAAATAGAGCGAGTGTAAAGCTTAATATTGTGCTTCGGTAAGATCATGCGGGAAAGACGTCCAAAGATGGTATTGCCAACCTGTATTCTCTCTGCCGTCAAGATTAGGGCATTCAACAACAATCTGGAGTAACCTTAGATGTGCAGCAACTGTAGATTATTAGGAGTCTCGATTTTGAATTCCGACTCCCGAGGAACTAAGCAAGGATACTGCTGGATACGGCTTCAATGCAGACGTTGGTTTCGATCGGTTGTCTTTATCCAGTTTCACGTCCTTTGCAGCTTCTTGAGAACCTCAGCGAGCACGACGAAGCGTTTTTGGACACCGGATCACACCTGTCCGAATCTGCCGAAGGCTCCCAACTTGCCGCCTCGAATCGCGGTGATCCTTTGACAGAGGTCCAGAGAAATGACCAGTTGGACAAAGGACCGAGTATCAGGCTGAATCAAGAGGTCATTGAGAGCAGGGTTGCGAGTGGTCCTGGACCTCCTTTACCTTTCGAGAAACACTCTGTTCCAGACTGTGCTCCAGAAATTGGTGTATTTGAGCAACCGGTTCTTACCGGAGGAAGCGTATCTTCTGTGAAAGCAACATCTCAGTTCGAAAGACAAATTGGTAGAGAAGGTGAAGGACGTCTGTCAACCGCCAGCTTGGGCTCTCTGGAGAGCTTCGGCGTCGATTCTTCCGAAACGCAGCATAGATACTCTTCAGCAAGTGAGGATTTGAGGAGTCCCCTTCACGAGAAGCACAACCGGAACCTCAAGAGCGGGCGGAAGTTCGACCAACCTCTAAGCGGTCAGAAGACAGCGTCGGAGCGGCGCCTGCAAGAGGTAAGATCCCAAAGACCAAAGAAAAATACGTGAGATCGAAAATCTCTCTTGGATCTTGTATGCTTAATTCCAATCTGTTGTTAGATCTTGGAAATCTCTCTTGGATCTGCTTAATTCCAATCTGCAAAGCTTATTTGACTCTGTAGCATTCGCGCCTCAACGAGGAAACGTAGAAGGAATGCAACATTGTAAGGACCTGCTGCCTGCTCGAAGATAGCTGAAGTGACGTGTTTGATTTGCAGGAGACCAGCACAGACCCAGAGCATCTGAGGGCCTTAAAGTTCGAAGTGGACGCCCTCCGGCAGGGATTGCGAGCATCGAAGGAGGATCGCCGGCGAGCAGAGCATGAGAAGCAGAGCATGCGGAAGGAACTGGATCGCGTGTTGGCCGCAAAACAGGAGGAGATGGACGAAGTCATTCGCGGCGTGATGGTGGAGATGCGAGAAGGAGAGGAGGAGATGCGGAGAGCGAGGGAGATGGCAGTGGCTGCTAAGGTCAGACCAATCAGGCTCAAAATCTCCAAAATCTAGCCGCTCTCATTTGCGGCTGATCCATACCTAACTGCCAGAAAGTAGTGGAAAACTTCTGTAGTGGAAAATATTGCACATCGGATGGGAATGGAATGCGTTCATGCTGTCAACATAGTTTCCCTGTGTTCCATCCTTCGAAGCAGAGTTGTTGACATCCGGCTTGCCATTTGTCGAACTGGAAAAGCCGGCTTCCAGTCCAAGCATTCTCTGACATGCAAATCTTGTGTCTCTACGCAGTCGAAAGAGATGGAGAAAGCGCTGAGAAATTTGAAAGAGAAGCATCGGAAAGCCGAAGATGCAGCGGAAGTGACCAAGAGGGCTTCTCAAATCAGGATTGAGGAATTAGAAGCACAGTTGCAGATGGTTGAGCTTCAGCTTGGAATGGAACAGGAAGAACGGGCAAATCTGTCTGCCGCTTTGGAGCGCTTAGAAGGTGACCATGATTCCGCCAAAGTGACTTTAGAAGCAGCTAAAAAAGAAGTTTGCGCGGAGACCGGTGGCAGTCTCGAACGAGAGGCAAGGGATCAGAAGGAGCGCATTGCTGAGCTCAAGAGAATGCTAGAGAGCGCCCAAAAGCTTGTCATTGAGCGCGAGACAGACTTATCAGGCATCATGAAACAGTTCAAGAAGCTGCCGGCGGGCGACAACAATGCAAGCCCCGAGCACGGGAGACAGGAAGCAGATGCGTTGCACGCTCTGATGGAGGAGCTCGAGAGATGGAAACGAACGAAGGAGGCGGCTGTAGAACAGGGAAGCAATGCTTTGGCAGAGGTCAACAAGCTGGAGAATCAGTGCTCCAGACTGGAGTCTGAGCTCTCAAGACGTCAAGCAGCGCGGGAGGCGGAGCTGAAGCAGATCGTAGAGCTCAGCGAGAGATTGAAACGACAGGAAACGACGAACGACCTTGTAAAGAGGGAAAAGGAAAGCCTTGTAACTGTGGTGACGCGGCTGCAGGAGGACTTGAAGGCTGTGCAGATAGAGCTGAGTCATTCTCGCCGGCAGGTGGAAGAGATGAAGGCGGAGCGTGACCGAGAAGCAGCTGCTCAGAAGGTGGAAGTCGAGGAGATGCAGCTGAAGCTGTTTGAAAAAGAGGGTCAAGTGGACATTCTCTCAGAAAAGCTGCAGCGAAACGAGAGCCTCGCTGCGGAAGACTGGAGATCCGGCTTTACGCAGAAGGCTGCAACTGAAGAGAAAGTACCGGTGGTCGGTGAGCAGGAGCAGCCGCCGGATCCTCTCAAGGTGAGAATTGAGGCAATCTTCTGTGCTAGCCTTTCGATGCCAATAGCTTCTTTTGGCAAAAGATGGAAACAGCGATTGGACGGGACCCTAACACCAGGATATCGTTCAACGAAGCTTTGTAAAGAGTCCGCCAAAGCGTAAGGTGTCCGATACTTCTATCTGCAGATCTTGCTCAGTAGATCTGCATGTGCCCCAGTAGGTCCAGAAGGCTGCCAATGAAGTTCATCTCCATTTTTATAGGACTGCTTTATCGGCTCTGTTCGGCATTGAAATGAGTCTTTCTTCCGCACTCAGATTGAAAACCTCGAGAGGCTCGTTGAAGAGCTGAGGACCAAGGCCAGCCAGACGGACGCAGAATTGACTCTGAAGGACGCTCGGATCGAAGAGCACCAACTTTACGAGGCGAGGTAAGCATGATCTGTGAAAGGTGGGAGACAGATGAAACGGGAGTCCACCGATCAAAAGAGCTGTGGGCAGACCGAAAGAACATACGAAGGAGCTAAACCTGTTTTTTTGTATTCAACGCTTTTGATGAGTCGATAGCCTTCCAACCATGAAAATCAATCTCAACAAGTCCGAGAACCAGATTTGTCTATCTTTACGACAAGAGAAAGATTTCGGATCGGTGATCGAAACGGCAGAGCAGCTCCCGGTCTGTTTACTCTGAAAAACGTGCATTAGTGCAATCCGCAGGGTGCCCGGTTGCTCAGCTCCAATACATTCTTATACTGTCAGGTTGAGAACGGAGCTTCAAATCTACGAAACAGAATTGGCGGGCCTGAAAGATGAGCTTCAGAAGTGGCCGACCGCCCTGCGGGAGAAAGCGGCAGAGTTCGCCCTGCAGCGCAGCATTCTGCAAAGAGATAAGGAAGAGCTGGAGCTGGCGCTCGAGGACGCGAGGCTGCGGTTCCAGGAGGCAGAAGGATGGCACGAGGAGGAGATGGAGCAGATGAACAGCATCTTCAGGTATAGACACTTTCATTCAAGTTCCTCTTAAGCTTAATTTCAGGTTTGTTTATTCCGGAAACGTCGTTCTGGAATACTTGAGCTCGATATCTTCTGAGACAAGTCGTTTGATTTGTTTCCAACAAAGTTTCTTCTTCTTCGGGTCTGACTCAAGGATCTGTTGCATTCTGTATCCAGTCACCTGTCGTTATTGTAAGTACCTGATCGGGTTCCTGCTTCTAGAAAGGCCTTGCAAACCAGCTGCTTGCGTGCTTCTTTCGCAGGGAAAGGGAAGCGCACATTGAAAGCGAGCTCCGCCAGCTCCAGACAATTCTCAGCGGCGGCCTGGAAAGGCAAGAGACCGCAGGGAAACGTCCAGAAGCCATGAGAGAGGATCCAACCGTAGACCTGAGACGCTCTGCCGGTGAGACAGCCGGTGGACTAAACCGAGAGCACAGCGGGGAGGGGGAGCCAGCAGAGGGGAATCGCGCAAGGCAAGGCCTGGAGGGCTTGGTAGAGTCCCTACGGTCGCAGATGCAGAAGGTTAAAGACGAGCTTTCGGGCCGCACCCTGGACGTGCAGGCGGAGCAGAAGAAGAACGCCGTTCTGCTGGGGATCGTCAGGGAGATGAAGATGCGCTGGGACGCGCGCGAGCGGGACTTCGCACGAGCAAGGAGAGACGCAGCAAAGGAGATCAAGCAGGAGCTAAGCGCAACGGTCAGGCGGCTCGAAGAGACGCGGGCGGAGCTGGCGAAACGCGAGGAAACGATCCAAGAGCTCAGCCGAGAGCGTCTCGAGCTGGGGAGGAGAGGAGAGGCCCGTTTGAATTCTCCCCAGCTTGAGCCAATCACGTTCCGCGTGTTGAATGACCACCCGAGCGATCAGGAAAAGGGCGCGGAGGCGGACTTTGTCACTGTGAAAGCTGCGGACTTCTTTGCGCTAAAAAAGCTTTTGGAGGTACGCGAACCATTCTCTGAGACTGATGCATGAAACTTCAGTAGCTTTTTGTAGATAATCTGCATCACTCAAAGTGCCTTTTTCTGGGGTTTGACCAAGCTGTCTCTCCAGCCAAGCTAAATTTGCTTCCAAGCATGTGATGCTCCTGTGGATGGATCAGAGGTCGTCGAAGAGAAGTGGTCCTCTCGTCTGATCTTTCACGCATTACGAGAAAGTTTACTGTTGTCTGTCCTCCTTATTGTGAATCTTCTTGGTCCTCGCAGGATCAGGAGCACAAGATGGACGACATTAACCGTTTAGCGGCGGCCTTGGAAGAGGAGAGGTCTCCCAGTTTCCCGGCAGGAACACCCGCCGGAGAGTCGTACGAGAAGCCTCCCGAGCCGTTCTTCAACAACCCTCCCGCTTCGGATGATCCAGCCCCAGAATGTGCGGTAACGGAGAGAGAACCTGACCAAACAGCAGTGCTTTCCTCACCATCTGCGTTCTCTGACGGACACCCCGGCTCGCCCATCATCTCGCTATCCCCGCTGCGGCCGTCAGAGCGCGCGCGGCCGCAGTGGCAGCCTTCAGAACCGCTCGGTTTTGGCAGCACGATCGACCTAGGGGACGAGAGATTCAACCGGGGTCTCAGTTCGGCAGCCACAGCAGGGTTGCCGCATCAGCTGGGCCCTGCATGCCTCTTAGGCGACGACTACGATGCTTCGCCGACCAGTCACTTTGCTTTCCCTTCCCCTGACGGACCGACGTTCTCAGACCAGTCGGGAGGAGACTCCCTGATAGAGTGCCAGGCGGCGCTCGACTCGGCCCTTGTAGAGATTCAGCGTCGCTTGTCGCAGTCTGGGGCAAAAGGAGCCAAAGGGGTCGTCGCAAACCGGGCGCTCGGGCGGGCACGCGCTAGACTGAGCGGAGCTCACCGGGGCTCGCCCTCCGGGTCGGCAGCGTCAAGCCCCGCGCAAGGGTTTTCCATCCGAGAAGAAGCGCAGCGGCGTCTGTCGGGCAGGCAGCTCTTGTTCGGGTTCGGCAGAACAGAAACGCGCTCGCCTTCGGACAAGGGCAGCTTGCACGGAGGTGGAGAGCAGCAAGAGTCTGCTTCTCTGTCAAAGCTCCGAGAATTTGCAGCCCTCCGAAGCAGGTACGTAGGCGATGAAGGTCAACCTCTCCTCTCATACTTCTCAGATGTAGTTTTCTGGCACTTCGTTCCTTTTTTAAGGCCTGTTGACATCGTTCGCAAGCAACCCTGCTATTGACTACATCTGTGGAGATTCTCGTGTGGCGACTTGATCGGGAGCAACCTTTTCCCAAAACCATGGGATCAGATCTAATTGGTTATCGAACACCGCATCCCTCTTTACCACAACCGTCTAAGTTGGTTGGTTCGCCTTTCTGCGCAGCTCTTGCGACCAGCTACAAACTCCGTCTTCTCTTCTCGACGGCCCAATCCACGTTTCACCAGCAAGTTCTCGCGGACAGCACTTCTTGGTCGGATTCGACTGGATCGAACGTGTGACCAGTGTGAGCTTATCAAACCCAATTCTCTCCGTTTTACATCTTGTGAACGAGACATTTGTCGGGCATCTTGAAATAGAGTAACCTCGAAGGCTGTGCCACTGCTAATGCAACTTGTCCTTAGTGCTTGCAGCGAAAGTTGAGGGATCCGTTCTAAGATCGCATAGGCGAAGGATGTGTCTCTCTACTTCTTGCTTTTACCTTCTGGACTAGCGCCCCCCATTTCATTCAGAAAACTTCTTTTTCTTTCCTCGTTTAGAATTAAGTAGTACGTAAGGTCCAGCCTCCCAATGTCATCTTAATCTGGTTTCCACAGGAGTTTACGGCGCTTCAGTCTCGTCTCGAGCGCCAACAGCGACGGTCTCTTGAGAAGCAGATCTGGCTTGAGGCGGCACTTCTCCGTGCTCTTGAGCAGAATGTTGGCATGCTATCCGGCACTCCGCTAGAAGAGGCAGCTGAGCCGAGAGTATCTTTCACGAGATCTTTCGATGCGGACGTCGACTGATAGAGGGCTTGTTTTGTTTGTTGCTTGCAACTTTGCTTGTAATTCAAAGAGCGCTAGTCATGATTGCGGTTGTCGTGTCAATTCATCGAGGCCTAGACATATACTACAGTCCAATGACATATACCAATGACATCCGCCCCAGAATAGAACTTGAGATGACACAAGGTGGTCCTGACAATGACTTTTCTTGTGTACGTCTCAAGAGTCCCGCATGGTGGCAGGTATATGCCCATCATGCATTGTCAATCTATGCAGAGTTCTGCATTTTTGGTGTTAATCGTTTCATGCAAACCATGAGAGGGGATCATACCACAGCATGCAAAAGCTGGGTCTTCACTATGCAAAAGCTGGGTCTTCACTGTACAAAAATGTGATCATGCCGGCACAATCCGGTATCATTATGGCGAAGCATGCATGGCTGTATAATCAAGGCCGTCTCAGGGGGCCTGCACAACGTGCATGTGCGTGACTCATGCATGCCGAATTTATGAACCGTGCAAATCAAATGCAAGCACTGAGTGATCAATGAAATGAATGCATCACCGTTAAATGATGCACGCCCTAGCTATGTTGCCATAGCCACTTCATCCGCTGAAAACTTTTGGAAGAAGGCTAAGTTCCGGATGATGAGCTTACGAAACAAGACACGCATCTAACCGCAACAATATAAGATGCGAGTTACATTCCAAGTCAATGAGCAGTCCTAACTCATACACGGTGACGCCAACTTCTGAACTGACTCGTGCAAGTTGACCATTGTTTTGGCCCAAGTTTGACGCCTGTGGGCGGTCAGCAGATCCACCCTGTATCTAAAACGAGTACACCCCTTCCCTTGCCGAATTTGGTGCTTTATCCCTGCGCAGGTTCTTGGAGGGCACTCGGTGTACCGTTCTGCCTCCCCGACTGCATCTCCGTTGACATCCCGTCGTGCATTTCTCCTTCCATCCCCGACGGCAACCCAGACTGCACTGCTCCGTTCTGCACTCCGTTCTGCACTCCGGGCTGCATCACCGGCTCCATAACCATCTGCATCCCAGTCTGCATCCCGGGTTGCATCCCAGGGTGCATCCCCGGTTGCATTCCGTCCTGCATTCCTGGCTGCATCATGCCCGCCTGCATGCCCGGTTGCATTCCGGCCGGCATGGCAGGCTGCATTCCGCTGTCCATTCCGCTCTGCCCGCCAAGCTGCATGCCTGGCTGCATAGCCATGACCATACCGTTTTGGAACCCGCCCTGCATCCCCTGCATATGCTGTGGGCCGCCAGCCCCCCCGCTCCGGATCGTGTTGGCCGCCTGTTGCGCCTCCATCTCCCTGGCCGACTTCTTGTACTGCCGCAGCCGCAGCAGCAGCTTGCACAAGCTCTCCTTCTTGTTGGCCAGGTGCTGGATGGCCGCCTGGTGCGAGCACCGGTTCTCGATCGCCAGGTGCTTCACGTACTCGCAGACCTGCCGGAGTTACATCAACTTGAGCTTGGCATAAACTCAAAGCCAGCTGATTCTGGGGGGTAAATGTTGACGATATGCAAGTGCATATTGCTCTACTTAAGTAACAGTTGAAGACGACTTCAGCGTGTCTGATCCAACTGGAATCGAACGAGCAAACACCTGACAAGAATTAAAGCAATCAACGTCAAAGCAATATTGGTAAAACGAGGTTCATCATGTAAGAATGGGTTAACGAGAGACAATCAGATCATCCACCATGCGCGTCAATTGCGCCCTTCCCCACCTGCTTCTTCTCGCAGAAGCGCTGCCGCTGGCCCTTCTTCCGGCGCCACCCGCTGGCGTGCTGCTCCTCGAGCTGCATCAGCGAGGGCCGCCCGTCGAGCCCCTCGTACATCTCGCGCCAGCACTCCTCCACCGTCTTCACGGGAGGCCAGTCATACAGCCCCTCCGATTCCTCTGCCTCGGCAGGCGGCTCGGGGGGTGGGGGAGCAACTACGGGAGGGGCTGGGGGGGCCTGCGCCTGGGGCTCTTTTGGGGGGGCCTTTTTCCGCTGTCGTTTCTTGGGGGTGGTCTTGGGGGTTTTGCGCCCAGGGGAAGCGGCGGAGCTGCGGATGAGCGACTCTAGCGTGTACTGGACTTGCTTCACCTGGGACACCTCGTTCATGACGCTGTCCACGCGGGACGCCAGCCGCTGAATCTCGCGCAGGATGTCCACCTGGCGGGGAAAAGGGCGCATGTCAGCGGAACGTGTATTTTTAATCACCTGGTGAGACCCGCGCGGTGAAGTGTTTCCTAAGTGTCTTGAGGCTTGATAACCGAGAGCGAAGCTGCTTGGATTGTGAGAAGGCGGACAGGAAAAGTGCACGAAATCGGAGCAAGTGGGCTTATGCAGATTCGAGAATGCTATCTTTGCAGTTCAGATGCAAGAAAAACAAAAACACCAGGTGAAACTTGACCAGCTTGTCATCTCGACATCTTGCGATCCACATGGATGTGCAATTGAAGCAACAAAAACCAGTCCCGGAACCCAGGCGTCAATGGATGGGGGCATTGCAGCTGTCTGGCCCCCCCTAAAGAGAGCCGCTTTTAGCCCCCACTTGAAGGGCAACCTTGAACTCAAACGAGCCTTCTGCAGTAACACAAGCGCAGACACACCGCCACTCCACCTACATATTCGCAGGCAGAGTGATGTCTTACCCCATTGACGATGTTAACCTGCGACTCGCCCGCACTTTGTACTGAAGGGCTCTGCTCCGCTAATGTCGGCGCTGGGAGGATCGCACGCGCCTGAGGCAGGTTTGCATATTCTGGGGAGAGGGCAGCTTGGCTATGGGTGGGGGTTTCCTGGCTTTGAGGGGTAAGTGTTGGGGTCTGGGAAAGAAGTGCATTGCTTTGGGGGGGGGACGTGAGGACTGGGAACTGATTCGGGGGTGTCTCTGGCTGCTCGTGGGCAAAGGGAGGCAGGCGCTGCTGGGGGGGGGTCTCGCAGAGCGCAGGAGGGGGGGGGTGCTCGAGATGCACCGTCGGAGTATCCATGGGCTCTCCTTCCTGTAGGGAGTAGTTAATAACTTGTATGTTTCCAGGACTTGTCAGAAGACTGCGTTAAAGACCAGCAACTGACACATGCACACGATTGAAAGGGGCATGAAGTGGGACAATGTGAAAGGGGCGTCAAGCGGGACAGTGCATATGAACGAAAAATGACTTGCATAAGCGCACGGGGCAGGCTTTCCCCCTTATTTTCCACCCAGGCACGGCAAGCAACTGCCGCTACTGGTGTGCCAAACATTGGACTGGAAGGACCTTGGAGCCGGTGACTATTTTCAACTGAGCGCACCTGAACAGAGGCGTCCCAAAATGGGCTCTGATGACTCCAGATGTGCCCTGAGGTTGCGTGTGGCCACTGAAGTGTCTCAATGAAGCTGGGGGAAAACCGAAACCGTAGAAGCGGTCTGGGATGCTGAGGAAGGAGAGGGGAAGGACTTGGTCAGAATACTGCCGTACAGGACTTGGCCAAATACTGCAATACCCAACCTTTTGAAACTTGCTCAAAATCTGGTGTGAGAAACTGGCATCCTAAGTCAGGCTTGCCCAAGTTTGCTAGTCTATCAGTGGGGGCCTGGTAAATTGCACATTGCTCAGTTGAACCACAAGCAGGAAGAGAAGCCTGGGCAACTTGTGACTGTAAGGTTTTCAGTTCTTCCAACATCAAAAGGTGGCCTGGCAAAATTGGATAGCCAAGAGAACCACAAAACTTCAAAAGGCAACCAAACTGGTTTTAGCAGCCGATCACTGGTCCCATGCCCAAACGATTCGCGAGGCATGTCCCACTCTGACGCTCAACACCGGAGATCCAGAACAAGCTGCATGGTCAACCACCAGAGTCCATCCGCTGGGTATCTACTTAACTTTGCAACTCCTCAGACGGGGGCTAACAGCTGCTTCCTGTCAGAGCAGAATGCCTTCAGCTACTCTGCACCTCTTCTGGGCGCCTTATTGCTGCAAGTGCACTTACACTTCAATGTCTTTCTTGTAACACATTCTTGGCAGGACTCAGGCCTGCCCCTTGAAAGGACTCGAGCGCTACAAAAGGCCTTCTACATGTTAGGAAAACATGAGGACGAGTCTATCTAGAAGCCTGGGTCAAGGAAAGATGCATGCTCGAACGCAGCAGCTGGGCCAGATAGCAGTGGCTTGGACAGCTAAAACTGCCTTAATCGCCTGGCAGCTGAACAAGAAAGGTGAGCTGATCCAGCTGGCGACCCCATCAAGGTCCTGGACCTGGGCTACAGACTACAGTGGCGCCTGCCCTCCTGGCTGCGGAACAACGGACGCCAATGACACTGGCGGACAGCTGTATTGTGTTTAACTTGGTCGACACTCTTGTCCGTTCGGTACGCTTGCATGATGTCACCAAGGGCAGAACTAGAGGAGGCGAGACTAGGCGAGACGGCTCGAACCGTACTGGTTGAACAGTTGAAAGCTGAAACCCTAAAACCCTAACAGCCTCAAAGGCCCAAACCCTAACCCCCTCGCCAATTCCCGCGCCCATCACTCAAAATGCGCAGTGACACTGCATGTCCGGCCGGGCCAATAATCTGCAATACCGGTAATCTGCAATTAAAGTAATCTGCAATATCTGCCACACTTGCAAATTGGCAAGAAGTCAGGACGAAGTGGGCAAGGAATGCAAGGAATGCAAGCTAGGTACTAGGTGCAAGGGCATCAGGGATTGCTTGTCGCCTCCGCAAGCTTCAAATGCATAGGACCAGGTGGTGAGGACAGACTGAAGCGATGTGAAGCGATGGATATCCCAGGGGTTTAGAGGAAATGGCGTGGAGGAGGTTGCACAGTAGCTTGGATGAAATCTTAAAAGCTTGAAGGCCAGAGCTTGTCCATTACTGGTAAACTTCCAGTGCGGTTGAAGCTTGTCGAAGATTCTGGTTCAAAGCGTCTCAAAGCGTCAGCTAAGGAGTTCGTCGTCAAGGCATTGATCAGCAACGATGCACGTCACTTTGCCATTCTGATAGCAATAGCTCGCTGCTGATCTCTTCTAATGCAAGGCCTACTCAACCTGTGAATCAGGTGCGGTTTCCATGAGCTCACATTCAGAATATCTTTTGTTGCTTTCTCTCAATGATTTCACCATCCATGCCTGGTTTGAGCCCCCCGCAGTATCATGTTTAATCTGGTTAATCCTTACAAAAACGTCTGAGTGCCTCATAAACAAGGAGATCCTACTTCAAGCGAAGCGTATCGCGATTGTGGAGGCGTGTCGGGGATCTTTTGGAGCCCCGTCTTCTTGCGAGGAAAGGCGTTCAGTCGGCTATAACTTTAGGCTTATGGATCTTTGAAGGGATATACCCCTTATCAGAGTTCATAATCTTGCAATATTCAACGTTGTGACTCGTGCAACCATGAGAAAGTATTAAAAGTGGAGCTTGTTAGAACATCAGATGGTCTGGACCACCGCAATGCTAACCAAGATCTCACGGGACTATTCAGCCACCACTACTTCTGGCGGAACAATTGTCCACAGGCCTGATTTGGCTATCAACTTCAGTCTAATGTTTTCTGGGACTTTGCACCGCTAAAAGCCCCACATAGTCCTTCATCCTACAGAGCACTCACATGATAGTGTACAGCACTTGATGTCCAAGGCACACCCAGAAAGCTCATGAGGTTTGTTCTACGCAATAGTACTCAAGCTTCTTGCACCACCTTGTTTGCAGATTGAAGTCCAATGGAGAAGCTGCCAGCGTCTGCTGACAGGCTGGCTGCTTTGATGCCCTCCCTTCCATCAGCAAGCAGGTTCACCACCAGCACAACCAATGGCACAGCCAATGACAGCTCTTCCGTAGGTAGACCTTCCGCAGACAATGAAGACAGTGCGATCAGGAATGCATCACAAGGCTCACTGGCCACAACTCCACCCCCCACGCCTGACACCACACCGCGTGTCACCTCCCCCACCTCCATTGCTGCAGAGAACCGGAGTCGCGCGCAGCTTGCGGCAGAGCTCTCAAAAGTAGAACTGTTGAGGGCTGCCGCACGTGGCCCGGGGAAGCCAAATGCACGAGGGATTACCGGGCAGACCAGCACTGCGGCTGCTCCAACCAAAGCCCCGGGAGGGTCGACGCCCTCAGATGCTGGTTCGATAGCAGCAAGGAAAGACCAGAGAGATCTGCAACAGACGGTTGGCCAGGCAAGGCAGCCACCAGCGGATGACCACTTTGGAAGACTGATTCCTGGTGTTACCTACCCTGCAAGTGTAGCCTGGGATGAGCAGCGTCCCTATCTGACTGGAGACTTTCTGGAGGCGTCAAGCAGCGGTTCCAGAACAGCGCAGGAAGGAAAGCGATCAGTCTTAGGGACAGGGAAGTCCGGAGTTGGCAAGTACTCATCAGCAGTTCAGGAGCTGCTTCTGATAGATGACTTGCTGTATGCGATGGGCGGAGCTGACGGGGAATATGTGCAGGCCAGGCCCAAAGCAGGCAAGTTGGGAGAGGTGGTCTTCAACCTTGATGAGAGCATGGATCTCTCGCTGCGGGTGAGGGACTACGGACCTTCTCTTTGTTCAAAGTGCATAAATTGCCCGCTTTTGCAAACGATCTACCTATGGTCCATCATCCCATCTTGACTTGGCAAAATATTTACGACTTGCTTGTTTACCTGTCCTCAAACACAGGCAATCGCTTGGCCAGTCAGGGTAAGATTTTCAACATCCACATCATTTCTGCAAGTCCTGGACTCTGCAGGAGTTGGCTAAGCGCATCCTGCCCCTTTGCGAGAGCTACCACCTGATCGCCCACTTTGTGGAGGTCCGATGGCACTACAAGCATGGCCTGGTCAGCCATGCGCTGGCAGCCGCGCTGAGAGGCCTGCTGCAGGACTACCTGATCATGGTGGCGCAGCTCGAGCACCAGTTCCGCCTGGGGAAGCTCTCCATGCAGGGCCTGCTGTTCTACAGCCAGGTGAAATGTTGGCGCTAGCTCAACAAGTCCTCATTGCAGGGCCTGTGTCGAGAACCTGGTCAGTTCTTTGCTGGTACAGCAGCCTTGGGTGCGACTGTTCTGCCGACGAATCTTCTCTACTCAGCTCTGCAAGCTACAATCAGAGTGCTTGTTCTTCATAAGGAGCGATAAGCCCCGTTTCAGAGATGTGTAGCATGGACATCCCTTACCTTTATGACGGCCCTCAAAGAACGCCCTCGCTAAACCAATGTTTTGATTTTCTCTCCGCTTGTCACAGCCAATGATGGATGCGTTGGGCATGCTGGCTTCCGTTGTGAAGACAGCATTGGAAGACCGTCTGTATGGAGCTGGCCTTCTGAACCTGCTCCAGAACAAGGTGCGTCGATTTGTATCATACGACTTGAGTCTCGAACTGCTTCTATGCGGAAGTCAATCTTCTCATGCATCCATCGCTGTCGTTGTGGCAAATGTTGCCAGCAGTAGGTCGATTGCATACCTGCTGATGCCCCAGGTATCTGGCTTTGGCTAGATCAGTCGACACCCGCTGATGAAGGGTTCCTCTCTATATGTCCAGGCTTCCGCACTGGCTGGGGACAAAGCGGCTCGAGCCCTCCTGCAGAAGCTGGTGCAAGATGCTCGCGCCCCGTACTTCCGCATTCTGGAGAGGTACGGAAAGTACCTAACTTCCACAAACATCGAGCCCATATCAGACGCGGAAGGTGTCGTGAATCTTACTACCAAACAGTATTACTGATCCTTTGAGACCGTCACCTTTACTCTGCTCAAAGGCGGGTAGGCATGTCAGCAGAAGACGTCTCTGATGGCTCGAACTGTGACTTTCGTCGTTTGCAGGTGGGTGTATGGTGGCGAGATCGACGATCCGTATGAGGAGTTCCTGATCCAGGAGAAGAAAGATTTCAAGAAGGAGGGCCTCCGAGACGACTACCGCGCGGGCTTTTGGCGGGAGCACTACGTGCTGCGCAGCGAGATCCCCGCCTTCCTGGCAGCCACGGCCGAGACCATCCGCACCACCGGGAAGTATCTGAACGCCATCCGGGAGTGCGGAGAGCAGATCAAGGTGGGCGTTCCTCCGAGAAGCGCTGGCATCGTAGCACAGCTTGAAATCTGCACGAATGAGGGATTGCGGTTGCTAAGCTCCGCGTTTTCTCGGCTGGAACGTTCCGAAACGTGGTGCTGGACGGACACTTCGTAACATTCGGTGCTGATTAACGAAGGTTGACTGATGCACGCAGGGTCCGGATGCTGGCGAAGATACGCGGCTGCACGCACTAGCGGACAGAGTCTTCCTGGAGCGGATCAACCTGGCGCACATGCGCGCAAGCCAGCAGCTGCTGGATGTGCTCTTGCAGAAGGTGAGGATTCTGGCATTCTTTTCTGCCTCATGGAATGACTTACTGAGGTCCGCAATTTTTGCAGTCTGGTCGTTGTCGTACGTACCTTCGTCTTGCTTTCCAAGAGCGAAAGAACCAAAGTGCCTGCAACATGAAAGATCTTTCCAACTTCATGACGTATCTCTTTTCCTCGCAGGAGAACCTGATGGGGCGGCTGCGATCAATGAAGCACTACTTTCTCCTCGATCAAGTGAGACCTCTCTAAGGATGTATTACGATTCCGTCCTCGTTCCTTATGCATTGAGGATTCATGAGAACAGACGTGTCTTAGCTTATGGGCGGCCTTCGTCTCCTCTTATCGACCCTCTCATCGATGACTTGTAACAGATTTTTTACCACCGCCCAACAATTGGTCAGCGCTAGTCTGACAACCAGCGCGTGTCGTTCAGGGGGACTTCCTGGTCCACTTCATGGACATTGCGCGCGACGAGCTGCGGCTGCGCCCCGCCCAGATCTCGGTGGAGAAGCTGCAGTCGCTGCTGGAGCTGGCGCTGCGCACCTCCGTCTGCTCCGCCGACCCCTTCCACGAGGACCTCACCTGCGACGTGGTGAGGCGACGCTGCCAAAGCCCATGCGCGATCAGCCCATTGCATAAGAACGTCCTCCTTCTCATTCTCTCGGTAGTTCAAGGAGCACGTTAGACAGTGACGGAGTCACCCCGCTTCGACCTGGAGTGTTTTCTCTTGAACGGAGTTACCCTGAACTGGTGGGACAAGAAAGATTGACTTCCCGACCTGCGCGTTCGCGATCCCAGCACGTACTTCCGTGGCCATCAATTTGACCGACTCCCTTTGCGTTTATCAAATCCTGGTTTCCTTTGTGCAGGAGCGCCAGCAACTCATATCGCAGTTGCACAGCTCTCTGAGGTCCGGACCCGACGGGCGGCCCGTCCTTGACTTCACATCCCTCGCTGAACCCGGGCCTTCCGAAGGGGCTCCCATCAACATAAGCGGGCTGGACACATTCACCCTCGACTACAAGGTAAAAGGGGGACGGGATGCACGCTTTGTTACCGAGTCAGCCCACTTTGGCGCAGGGGGAGTGCCATGCGGCATACTCACGATCAACCACTCTCGTTCGTGCAAGCGGAGATTCCCGTTGCAAGGGGAGGCTTTTATGTTTCTCAATGTTTCAAACGATATTTTCTGAGCCATCCAAGAACAAGTCAGAGGCCCCGTGCTGTGCAGGTCCGGTGGCCCCTGACGCTGGTCATCTCCCGGCGCGCTCTGACCAAGTACCAGTTCATCTTCCGGCACCTCTTCCACTGCAAGCACGTCGAGCGGCAGCTGTGCCAGACGTGGCAGGTCCATCAGGTGTGCGCATTCATTGTACGCAAGTTAAACAGCTCTTTTATCAATAAAGTCAGCGGCACAGTGTCGGGGCTTGTCAAGGTGGTCACAAATTGCTCGATTTGCTTCGTAGGGAGAGCTTCTTCCGATGCCTGTCCCACTCCAATGCCTTCCCTCTGTCACGAAAGTTCGCAGCCCACTTTAGGCGTCCTGTTTTCAGCAGACGTAAATGTCGGAGCTGGCTCCAAATTCAACGTGGAGCCCTCCTTTGCGGAGTCTTTCTGTTGCACAATGTTGAAGCTCCAACTGATCTTTGCGTGCACTTGTGCAGACCATGCGGGGCTTGATGGGCTTCACCCTGATGCAGCCGTCGTACTTCCTCTGCCAACGGATGCTGCACTTCATTCAGACCTATCAGCACTACATGACCTTCGAGGTACGCCACAATCGAATCTTCTGCCGGGCTCTCAGAGTGAAGCCCGAGGGGTGGAGCGCAGTGGACTTCATCTTCTTGAGCTTTGCTTGGGGCCTTGATTTTGATGATCCACTTTGCTCAAGCGGTCTCACATGAACGTCCCTACACTAAGATTACAATTCACGTTTAGGATTTCAACCGCCGCTTGAGTCCGCTTCGTGACCCATCGAAGGGAACCCTCCTTTTTTGTCCAGGTCCTGGAACCGAAGTGGGCCACTTTCGAGTCAAAGGTTGCCACGGCCAAGACCGTTGACGAGGTGAGGCTCAGCTTCTAGGCCACCTTCGAAGGTTCCAGATTTCTCCCTTTCCCAGAAAGAAGTTTTTGCTTTCCTTGAGGCCGTCCGAAGCACTAAGCATAAGCTTTTCGTTGTAAGCGGTCGTACAACCGTTGCCGATGTATTTACCGCACTCGTATTTGTGTGCTGGGGTGCGTTACGGTTCGATTCTCGTCAGGTGCTGGCAAGGGATGGGATTTTCGCATTCGTTTCTGAAACTGATTGCATCTTGGGCCGGTGTCTGCAGGTCATTGCGCTCCACGACGAGTTTCAGGACTCCTCGCTGAAGGAATGCATGCTCTTCTGGCCCCAGATCCTCAAGGCAAGCTAAGCCTTCCTGGGTAGACCATTGTTCGTGTTTGCATCAGGCAACCAGAACTCTCTGACACTAAGTGCGGGGAACGGACACTGCCTTCATTCTGAGCAAAGCAAGGGCGAGTTGCCTTCCTTCTCTTCTGGGGTCTTCAGACTGCGTACTCGTGCACTTACACAACCCGCCGCTTTCCCGGACTCGATCCTCCTGACCAGCCACCGAGCGGGTCCTCTTTCCAATCTTTCGCCTCTTAACGTGGTGTCGTCCCATGTCGGTGCAGCGTGTGGAGAAGGTGAAGAGGGCCTGCATCTTTTACTGTATGGTCACCCAGAACCTTGTTCCGGCGGTGTCGCTTCCAGACGACGACGACGAGGCGGAGCGGGGCAGCGCCTCAGGGCCGCCCTCCCGCAGACCGTCCGTCAATGTGAGGGAGCAATGTTTACGGCAGCAGCGATCTTTATCGGGTGTGCTCGTACAGTGCCGAAGACGTTAGGTTCGGATACGGGCGCTCAGTCTAATAACACTGAGCTGCAACACAGAGCAGCTTCTTCTAAGAGCAGCTTCATTGTAATCTTGGAGGTTGACCGTCAGTCGAACTTGAGAGGCATACACTCTCGTCCCTCGAGGGTCCCGCAATATTATGCAGATTTTCAACGTGCTGCACCTTGCCATCTGTCTAGCTTTGCTCAGCTCTCTGAACAATCACGCTCTGCCTTCGCCTACAGAGCGCGTCTTCTGGAGGCGCATACGCAGACTTCCGCGAGCAACACAAGCTGCGGCGAGAGCTTGCCATTCAACACGCGTTGCAGGCTGCAGAGGACTCAGGCATCGAAGCAAAGATTCAAGAAGCGGAGACGGCCTTCAACAGGGATATGATGGATCTAGTAGTGGTGTTGAACTCGGCATCTCAAGACGAGCCGTACTGTGCCCACCTAGCGCAGAGGTTGCAGGGCGTCGGGCAAGGGATCGCCGAGTTTGGAATGATATGATTTGCTGGAAGATTTCTGACAGAGGAGCCTTCCACAGTAGTACCAGTCCCTGAAACAGACTGCAGCCAGCTGTTATTTGAGTTGCCTCGCCATGTGCTTATGAGTCTCTATCTACGTACAGTCAGGTTTGAACCCTCGGTGTTTATTACATCGTTCGACACGTAACATTGTCCTCGGCTATGGTGGTTCCATTAGTGCAAGCACCTGGCCGACCAACAAGTGCTCCTACTATTCGCCTCAAGCCCGATGTTCAAAGCCCCTTGCCGTCAGCTGAAGGTTTGCTCTTGGACTTAATAAGTCGACTCGAAAAAGAACACCAGGTGCTTGAGTGTATGTAAAGTTCGCTAGCAGCTGCGCCATTGCCCCATGCGGTGAGCTGAGAGAGTGCCTTCAATGCATGCAGACGTTCATTACGTATGATCCGCGCTCACAAAAGGCCTTATCTCCCATGCGGGTCGTTTAACCTGTCACTACAATCCTCTTCGTTCTATTGGACCTTTATCATAACAACATAGGAAGTAAACTCACAACTGGTCTATCACATGTTGCATACCTACCATGTCATCTTTGGTACATGAGTCGATCAAGTGCATGCAACCTGCAAATTTGGGCACTAGCCAATTCGACTCGACTTGCAAGATACATCTTGTTTGGCCAATGCACAATGGCACGCATCGGTGCCTCAAACCCCCGCATTCTAGAGTCGTCCATGCGATACTCGGCAACTCTAAGTCAAGACTAACTTAATGTGTTAAACGCCTGAAGTTGTTCTTCTTTGAGTATGATCGTTCTTGAGCATCTGCCTTAATTCCATGATTTAAGGTACCTACATTGAAGTCTCAACATGTGATCGTTGTTCCGTTGTCACCTGCGTTGGATTCACATAGGTACGGTACGCTGTGACCGTGCAATGGTCACATAGGTACTCGTCACATACAGTGCACACTGCACACGGTGCGAGAACAAGTGCAGAGAAGCGTAGGTACCTACCTACTTCAGTGCTCCACCTACCTAGGTATCCTGCAAGCTTTTCATGACCATCGGACAAGTCTCGACTCTCGACTGTAGCATACATGGACCCAGGACCGTCGATGTCCACGGCAAAAGCACGCGCGCAGTAATGCTCAAGCAATCCAACGGTCCACACTGCTTACAAAGATAAGTCGCTAACTTTTCCCGCCAGAAATTTCAAGTTTGAAGTTCGAAAGTGCTGTGTGGCGCAGTGGACCAGTTGGCAGTGGTGCAAGGCTGTCCACAGAGCATGCACATCATGCATCATCGTGCACATGCGCTGCCCGCAGAGTCGGCGCAGACTGCAGCGGCGCAGCCTGACCTGTTTCCTATGTAACAGTACGGTACCTACCTAGGTATTTCTTTTGTTTGCTGGGTAGTGAGGCCGCATTCTCGGCTTTGAGAGTTGGTAGGTACCTACCTGCTGGTGCCAGCAGCAGCTGGACATCCCAGGCCCAGGCAGCGAGCGGTGGACCAAAAGCATCACCAAATTTGGCAGGCCGCGCTGCATGGACCAGGAGCACTGGATTTATCTGGGCATTGAGCCAACGGCAACCCCGTAGATAAACCATGTGGAAATATCTGGGCTAAGCATTCTCTGGATTGGTGTCACCGTTTTGTGTTTAGGAGCTTTCAGCAACGTCAATACCTATTCTCCTTTTCTTACTGCCCAACCACACCCCAACTGCCTGCAATAGGCGGCTTGAAACAAGTTTATCAAGGCCCCTATCTGAGCATAACGAGAATGTCTGCCGATCACAACGCTGAAGGACAAGTCATCAAACGCCTGAGTTTTGGGGACATGTCCTCGCACCAGTTGCTCCAAGGAGAGGAGGCGACCTGTCAGAGACATGATCTTAGGGACCATGACAGACCTGATCCGGATGCTGAAAATGATGAGAATACTTTTGAAGAAGCTCGGAGGGGACCAGCAATGCAATTCAAATCATTGAGGGACAAACAAGCAGATTACCACAGGTAATCTTGGTGCAAGTTCAATCTACCTTGTAAAGCGCACTGTTGTGATGTGCACCAAAATGCCATCAAACCACTTGCAGCTTGTTCCATTGGTCTATGGGGCTCTCAGGTGTCCATAGGAGCACTTGGTCCTGTAAGAAGTCTTCCCTGCAGAAGAATGAGGTATGAAGCATAGTTCTGACAGGCTACGAGGTGCAGACATGTACGATACCTGCACCTGGAACTGATGTCAGAACCAATATGAATGCAGGGCTTTGGAGGAGATTCGCCCAACAAGTTGTCGCTTCAATGCTCTCGAAGAAGCTGCCCGGGCAGAATACAGAGAGACAGGTCCTGGAAAGCTGGCTAGCCTCAAGGTCGGGACAACAGATCGCTTTGTATGCTTTTTTTGCTTCTGCTGGCAAGCCTGCCTTTTGCTGTAGTGGCCAACCCTGCAGGTTTTGATCCAAGTCTAGCTTGCAGTGACACAGTTAAATGAATGCAAGCTATGAATGCAAGCTTTGTGCTATGTCAGGTATCACTTGGCAAGCGGTTTGCCAGCAACTTTCTTTTGCTGCTATGCCTACAAGAGAGTACTTTAATGCAATTAGGTTTTCTGCGTACAGGACCAGTTCTCAAAATACAAATTTGAATACGTGGAGCTGGAAACCAAAGAGCACTTTGTCAGGGCAATTGCTGAAGAAGGGGACAGGGTGCTTGCGGGCGAAGAGGTCAAGGGTTCATTTCTTCTGGAGGGGGTTGTTGGCAATCAGAAAGCCAAGGTGCAAGAGCTCAAGAGGCAGAAGGAACAGACTGGCCTAGCCATCAACAACATCATCGATCAGATCGCCGCAGGTAATGTTTGTACAACCCGGCTGCAGATGCATGACCCTGGCCATACTCTATTTGACGGCCTGATCTGCAAGATGGTATTAGAATTTGACTGCAGATGTAAGCTGCTTGTACAAGGGTACAGTAAGTGTCAGGAGCTTACTTTGCCAAGTCGGTGTTCTGGTGAGGACTGACAGTCTCAGTTGGACTTAAGCTTGAGCTTAAATTATCCACTGAGGGTTGCTTTTGATGGGTGTGATGCATCCAATCTTTGCAGAGATGAGTGAGCTGGAGAAGGAGCAGCATGTGGTAGCAGCGGAACTTGAAGCCTGTGAAGATGCGTTGCAATCTTGGGAGCGGACACAGGACGCCTTGGCAGCGGCTGAGAGCGGAGAAAACAAGGAGGATCTGGAGGATCTTCACGCTCAGCAGGTGCGTCCTTCACTGTCTGGCTGGTCATGAGCTGACTTACGACAGCAGTCTACCTCGTACAGGGGAGGCATCTTGTTTTGCCTTTCTCAACAATGTAAAGTACTCAGAGATTGCCCACTGGTTCACGTTGGGGGTTCTCTACTGTGGCTGACCTCAGCTCTGATACTGCACAGCGCTCTTCCTTAAGCGGACAATGAAGTGGAACCCTTTGACTTTGTGCAGGAGGTTCAAATACGAACACTTGCAGAGCAGGAGTTGGCTGCCAAGCAAGCAGGGGCGCAAAACAAAGAGGATGCTGACCAATTGGCAGAAGAGGTATGTGAGCTTGACTTTCCAAGTGGGCCCACTCTTTCAAAGCTGGATCTACTTAAGGGTCAACATCAGTTTTGAGTGCTTGTACAAAATCCGTATGAAGAGTTTCCTTCAACAACGTAAGCTTGCAGACGCGCATCGTGTCACCTAGACAAACGCGTTGAGATTCGCCTGCGGAGAACCTCGAGACTTCTACATGCCCACCCAAATCACTAAGGTTCATCAAAAGGATGCGCAAGCAGTCAGCAAACAAGAAGCTAGACAAAGAGTCCGCCGTGCCTCTTTCGTGCAGATTGCAGCGCTCCAAGGAAGGTTACAAGAAGCCCAGGCAGAGAGCCTGAGGCTAGAGCAAGCTGCTGAACAGGTTGGGAGAGTCAGCAGGAGCACGGAAGTGTAAGCCAACCCATCGACCTAAGAATCCTGCTGCACTTCACAGGAAGTCTCACTCAACTCAGACAGTTTAAGAAAGTTGTCTTTTGGAGCTTTTTACTCCCTTTCAATGAGGACTGTTACCACCTCGTCTCGAGGTTTCGCAGTTCCGACCTACTTTGCTTTTTGAAAATGGAGTCAGGAGTCCCGCAGACTTTTAAAACGGTGCTTTGGAAAACGATCAGAAAGTTTCATTTTGTCCCAAGCGCTGAGTCTCTCTCTCAGGTACGAGGAGATGCTGAAGCTTCTGCACGGCCTGGCGGGCATTTCTTTGACTGCTTTCACGGACCGCCAGCTGCACTTCCTGATGACTACCCACATCACGGCGCCGAGCAGCCGGACTGGCAAGCTCAAGCACGTGCCAGTCGAGCACGACCTCGTGGTGGCCCTGCATCCGGACACGTCCGAGATTGAGGATGCGATGGTGAGCTGGCAGACAAGGTTTGTGTTGTGTCCGAGCTTCATCTGCCATTCTCCACACCAGTTAGCCCAGAAGAAGGGAAAGTTGCGAGATTTTTTCGATCAACTTTGCGCTCAAGATGGTATAGGCAATCTTGTTGAGCTCATGGACGTTTTGAAGCGGTCTTTTGTGTGTCTTCTTGGTCTTCCAAGGTGACAGCTGTTCAAGCTAGCGCCCTATCGTTCTACTTTCTGGCAGAGACTTTGTCAACGTGAAGCTTATGCATCATATCCTTCTCAACGACTGCCATCGACAAACTCAGAGGCCAATACACCGCCGAGAATCCGTTGGCGGAGAGTTTTTCCCAGTACTTTCCCAGACTTGCGCAAGGGACCAGCACTTGACACGTTGGCGTTTAAGACTTTTTCTAGATTTGTACGCCTGTTGACCACTGTTACGGGCCCCCTCATCGTTTCGCAGCTCTCTCCTGCTGACGTGGACATCTCCGACATTGTGGCCACTGTGCGGGGCACGCAGCGGTTGGACGCCCTGGTGCGCGAGCTGCGCCAGAGGGCGAGCTGCTACGCCGTGCGGAAGGATCAGGTCGGACGGGCCACGAGAACCACCAAGTGAGTACCCCGCATTTCATTAAAGGCTTGTGCTCTGGAAGCACCATGGTTGCTTCAGCAGACTCCTCATTAATGGGATGTTGACGGGATCCTACTTCGAACGACTCTTCGAACTCGCCTTTGGACTTGCCTTTCTTGCTGACTAAGGTTGTCAGCCAGACGCAGTTGTGGCTCCAGTCGAAGAGATGCAGTGCAGTCTACCATCCAAATGTACCCCAGGGTCGTGGAAAAGTGGTCAAACAGACTTGAAGGGATTGCACAAAGCTTCTGAGCTGCCTTACTGGCCGTCCGAACAGCTGTGACCGTATGTTAAAATTCTTGACGTCCATTCAACTTCGCCTCGTACTGTTTCGTAAAGATTCCTCGCCTTTACTCAGGTACAAAATGCGGACGGACGACACCACCATGATCCAGGTTGCCCTTCCTGCTACCAATGTTGTCGCAAACGTCGACGCCCCTTATGATTGGCCAAGCCCCGGTGTGCCGCTGAGGTTGGAGTCGCTGCTAACTCGCAAGGGAAGCCCCGCCTTTCAAGACGAAGTCCTCGAGATGGTTCAGGTAAGTTTCCATTGAGGGTAAATTTCTATAGAAAGAGCTTTCCCTTCAGCTGTGGTAGGGAGGATTCAAAGGAGAGACTGCGTTATGCTCGGCGGCGGTTTCCGAACAACCGGAGTATACTTCGGATGTCAAAACGTTCAATCCTCCTTGCACGGACCTTCGCAAGCTCCAAACCCCGCATCGGATGCTAATCCTTGAATTGGAGTACAAGCCAGAAATGACGCTAAAAGCTGTGTGCATCAGGCCGTACATGAGATTCTGTTGGCTGTGCTCAGACAATGTTCGCTTCTGTCTACATTAAGACGGAATCCCAATTTCTTCACTTCCAAAGGCGGAAAATGAGCAGCGTATTGAGCAGCGTATCCTTTCGTGCCGTGCAGGATCGGATTAAGAACTCCGTGGCAGCACAGGAAGGGGACCTCATCTCTTTCGTGCAGAGTATTGAGCTCGAACTTCAGAAACTTGAGCTCGTTTGAAGCGCGTGCGAGATACTCCAGATTTACGTCCCTACCCGTCAAGTCACGATATCTCCCGGTTCTGTTGTGTACGAAATAACCAATGGACAGACTGCCTGGTGCATTTGAACTGGTGCCCACGTTCGTATGCTAACTCCGCTCATATGTGCTGTACTTGGTGTATGTCATTTGCAATGGTGCAATATGGTGAGCCTCAAGAGTTCATGGTTTGGTTCCACATCCTTGGAAAAGATTGGATTCGTGCCTCAACATGTTGTGGCAGCTTTTCGGGCGCACACCTTCATAGATGGTCATGAGCACAAGTATCATCCATCCTAAATCGAGCAACCCGTCCTTGGCTATGTACAAGAGATGATCAGATGCTCCCTGATACAGGAGACTCGATTACAGCAGGTCCGACTGTGCGACCTAGCATGGTTTGGATCCTATCGAAGCGTTCTGAATTCGCTCCCTAACTGATCTGACAACCTGAGCAGCACAGTGTTCAAACTACCGTACAAGCTTCAGAAATTGACCTCTAATGTATTGTCGTCAAATGGTTGCGGGTTCTTCAAAAGCGGGTTCGCTAAGCGTGCACGAAGTTTCTCAAGCTTTTCCCTGCATTGACAATCGAAGCAGACTCAGGCATCTTTCCACATGCATGGTTTGAAACGGCGTCAAAGTACAGTAGCTTTCTCTCACCAGATGAGAAAGGATTCCATCACGGACCCTCCTTAAGCTCATTAAGAGTCCATACAATCCGCCGGCAGCCACACACCTTTTCTGTAATAAATTCACAGACCTGTACAGAACAAAGAGCTCGCTCCTCAAGGTTCGGCAGAATCTCCACCACTCAGATGTCACTGGCAAGTATCTTGTTGGATTCCTGCTGGTTCCTGTGCTCTAACAGCATCGTCCTTTTGTGATGGCATTGTAGACGTGCTGAAGGTCAACCTATAAATATTGACTCAAGGTCTTCAATCACCCAACTTTCAAAATTGCACTCCTTGACCGACCAGGCACCGATCAGCTGAGAACAGGCTCGAAAGTTGGTGTGGAGCTTTTCTGTCGAACAGAAGCAGGCCCCTCACCTGTAGCCAGAGTCTTCAGTGTCTTGAATCAAAGTGTTCAAATAGTTGCCGAAATCCTCATCCTCGAATAGCCGAGTTCGGTGTGGTTCACATTCGGCTCCAAACCTTGTCACGTCCGCTGTAATGAGCTTCTCTAAAAGTGCAGCATCGGAGAGAACCTGAAAGGAAGGGTGCCACAACTCAGCGGGCTGTTTGCCAAGTCATCGGTATAAATGCAGTCTTCGATCATTAATCAGGGATCGGTCAGGGGGCACAGTGTCAGTACCACAGTGGTTTGGTCATCAGAAAACAACCTCTGCAAGCAAGCATCAAGAATGTCATTCAACCTTTTTAGATTCAGGGCCACTCCGCCCACTTGCCTGGCCCAGATTGCACCGAGCCAACGGATTGCAAGAGACACAAGTGTCGTGCCCATCAATGTTCTGACAACAAAACTTGGCCTGTGGGCTTGACTGCAGTTCTAAGAGTGAAAAGGGCGATTAAAATACTCACGCTGGACGTTGGTGAGCTACTGCTAACATCAGTCTTGTTCGATGCTTCCCCGCCATCTGGTGGCGACCACGAAGTCTGGTTAGTTGCCGTGTTCCAATAATATACCTGCACCAAGAAAAGCTACACAACGTTTATCCGAAAAGCACCACCCAGATTGAATAGTAGGTTTGTCTTGATAGTGTGTACAACATCGATCATGCTTCTTGATGCCAGCTCTAACCGCACAACATATCAAGACTTTGCAAGTAAGTCCTCATACAAGAGCAGCAATGCAGTGACTTTAAGGTGCCTTGCACAGAGAGGCGAGACCGTTTGGGGAACAAACCTTGCCTGATGCTGGGTCTACTACTTCTTTCCAAACATCCCCAATCGGGCCCTTTGCAGCAGCACATACCAAGCTAGTCCTCTTCTTTGGTCTAATGCTGGTTTTTCTATCGAAGCAGCAAAAGCACTGCTGTTTTTGCTGGCCTACAGTGGTGATACGTTGCGCACAAGCTGCAAGACTACTACTCCATGCGGCTCTTCCAGATTGCAAAAATGTTTGATCACATTTCCATCTCAGAGCCTGATGGCGCACGGATGCTTGCAGCGAGAAATTAATATGTTGAAAAGCATTCGCACGCCAGGGACCAGTTCGCCAATGTATGCAATCCACACTTTGCATTTCCAAAGCACCGGACGCAGTCGCCATCAACCCCGACCTCCCCATTCCACCACGTTTGTTGTTCTGATCCTGAAAGCCTAGCAAAGGTCGTGGTGAACTGAAGTCTTCAATGCAGGCTTGGAAAGGGAATCAAATGGACTGCATGCCTTCCTGAGGCTGTAGCCAGCTGGCAGAAGACGAACACTCGCGACACTTGCTAGTCTCTAGTGATCTAGGTGTGAACGCGCACTCTTGCAACTTTCAGCGAATCCGGTGCTACCACGTAGGCCTGGCGCTGGGAATGTTTTTCTGTTCACACTGAGTCGTTCTGACCCTGAGTCCTAGCTTCAGGATCCCTGAGCTTACCTAACAGTGACCAGACTAAGAAATCTTTGAATTTGATGAAGAATTCACTGTAGTACGGTATCTGTATACCGTATCTCAGAGTAGATGTTCGAACTCATCGAATCGTGTGTTGACACCGTTCGGGCCCATGGCGCAACCTTATATTAGAAGTATGAATGAATGAATGAATGAATTGATCAGTCACGAGTCGGCCAGTTGAATGTCAGCTTTCTCTTCTGAACAGCAACTTTAAGTAAGACGGATCACGAGAAGAGTAGAAGTGTGCCACAATTGGTCCCACTCTTTCGGATCAGCAAGTTTTCTCCACCTTCATGTGGCTTTTGGCCGTAAGCAGCGTTGGGAATGTCTGGAAAAGTGAGAAATCAAGGCCACCGGCAGACATGAGAATGGCATACAATGTGCTTTCATTTGGACTTTTCGTTGTTGTAGCTTACGGGATCCTGCAATTGAGTCGGAGACGAAAGAGGATGGAAGAAGCTGCGCAGCCGATCCTGAGTGTAGAGGAGGTAAGCATTTCCCTTGGAGGGAGCAGTCCTTTGACAACAATGAATCAAGGCCAATTTCATGTCATGTAACGCAGCAAGGCCACCTCTAGTGGATCTTTCAGCTGTCTTGGCATCCCCTCCGGTCATCAGATTATCTAAATAAACCACTGGGGACAGTGGTTTTGAAAAGGGGCACTTTTCAATCAAGTTTTTGAGCTGGGGATCAAGCGAGGCCCCGAAATTGCCTGAGGTTGATCCTACAGATTGTAAACCTGCCTCCAATGGACATAAAGGCCGCTGCTTGCATCCCAAAGCTGATGGACAATGAGGCTGCCGGTGTTTGCATTGGCCAGATGTCAGCACCTTTCCATCATGAAAGTCTGAGAGCCCCTAGTCCTGATATGCATAATTTGCAGGCTTGTACTGATCAGATCACTTCAATGATGCGCAGGTTGATAGGATCTCGTCTGAGACGTCACCAATGCAAGAGTCAGTTGCGTCCAAAGTAGAGTCAAAGATTCAGAGCGAGGTCAGTTCTGGCAGCAAGGAAGGGACTCCCTCTATGTCTGCCATCAGCGATGTTCTAGAAGAAACACGCCCCGCTACTGGCACGCTGGAATCTGTAAACAATAGTTGGCCTCTGGACGAGCATGGTGATCAGGGGGAGGCTGACGGGCCCCAACCTACAGAACCGCCCAATGAGATCAGCTCAGTTGAGCGAAAACGAGTCAGGTTTTCCAGTGATACGCCTTTTGATTACTCAAAGACGGCAGAAAGGGTTCCGCGTCGCAAGCCGGAAGATGGTGCGAGTCCGGAGGACAGACCTGAAGGGGAGACCAGACAAGACGGGTCCTTTTACACCGACGGTGAGCCAGAAAACATCAAACAACGACGAGCGAGTGTGCACACAATGCACGAGCTATCCTTGTCTCCTTCAGCTACCCCCGTAACATTTCTTCAACCGCAGGACCAATGTGATACTTTGAGCTGTGGGATCCCTCCTTTTGAAACGAGCAATCTGCAGCAACCTGACTCACTAAATCCATTCCGTGCAGGCTCTGTGTGCAACGTCCAAGTCATGTCGGGACCTTCCTCAGGCTCAAAAGTCACATGGCCTGCAGTTCGAACGGCTGCGAAGCCATACAGTGTGGGTCGAATCCCAGAGAATGACTTGGTGGTCAATGATCCTGAAGTGTCGGGCCGCCATGCAACAATGGCTTGGAATAGACAGGTAAAAGAGGAGCGGTTTGGTCTTGCTGCTGTCTGCATAATTCTGGCTCTGTAGTAAGTTTTGGGGTTGGCTAGAGGGACAAAAAAGATACACTGAATTGGGCGCCGATTGATTGTGAACGCCGCATACTCTTTCAGCAGGTTGTCTTCGAAGTAGAGCTGCAGGGACACCTTTGAAGATAGAGTCGATGTTCCATGGGCCAAATCAGATCAGTCTACTGTGTCCATGAGCTGCTTTGCAGACCTGATGCTTCTTCCCCTGTTGCCTACGAAGTCATGCAACTCCGTCTTTTCATTTTCTTCTCTCTCCTGGCTTCCCCAGTCCGGGCGCTGGCACCTGGTCGACGAGGGCAGCCTGAACGGCACCTTTGTGAACCGCGCCCCAGTGGGGTTGTCCGGAACCGGCGTCCGCAGGCGCAGCGGCCCTGTGGCACTCTCGGACGGTGACGTCATCACCTTCGGGTCCAGCAGTACGGCGGAGGTCAGCCTAGCTGAGGCGCCGAGCTCCAGTGGGCGCACGTTGGGAGAGGGGGGGCCGTTTTCGGTGGGGGTCGCATCGGATCCCATGGCGGCCCGGAGGGGAAAACCGCTCCCGATGGAGGATGTACCGCTGTGGCAGTGGCCATTGTCCGGGGCGGATGACGTGAGCCTTGGGTTCGTTTTGCTGCTGGCTGCACTGCCACGTCCTGAGAGAAGTTGTCAAGCGAGGCTTGTGAAGTGCGCAGGTTCGACCGGCAGGTTCGAACAGACGGGCGTAGGCTGTTAGCAATTCAATCGAGGAGGACGGTAGAGCTAGAACAGGTTTGTTGTCTCTCTCCTCAAGCGCAGCTCCGTCCTTCTGTGCAGGTGGGCGTCTTCTGCATATTTGATGGGCACTGTGGGCGAGGGGCGGCAGACGCTGCGAGCAAGTAAGTCGCCTCTGCTCGTCTGACAGTCTCGCTGAGGGAGGCTATGCTGAATGGAGCTCGTCAGAGGTTATATCTGTCAGGTTTTGTTTCTTTCTCCTTGGAGATCTCTATAGACCACCACATCTCCTTGGTGTAGGTGAAAAAGACTCTTACGTCCATGGCAATAAATTCGACTTGGTCCGCCTTCCAAAACAGAAAGTACGCTGGTAATCGGTCGAAATAACTCTGGATATTGCATGATAAACGGGGCCTCTTTTCAGACAGCATTCGACTTCAGACTGATCCGAACCGGACGATGATTGCAGGCTGCTTCCGTCGCACCTCTCGCGGCTGCTCTCGGAGCCGTCCGCTCGGCAGGCGGTGGTGGAAGGGGGCGATGCGGCCGGCGTCCTGCGGGAAGCGTTCGCAGCCACGGAGGCGGAGCTCACCATGGAGGACGAGGTGAATTGCCGCAAGCCAAGAACGCCTGCAAGGAACCGTGTTCTTCTTCGTTGTTAGGAATGAAGATACCAGTGTGTATCAAAAATGGCTCAGAATCAGACATGAATCCGAGCTCACAAGAAGGGGCAATTCACAAGCTAATAAGAATCCTTAAAAAGACCAGATATGAGCCTTTTTAGCTCTCAAAAGCGGACTGTTGCGACCGGCAGCAAAACACGGTCTTAAATGTTCGGTTTTGAAACTCTCATTTACGGCCTCAAATCGGCCTTCCATCTATATTGATTGCTTGATTGTGTGGACATCCGGCTCTTCGCCAAGTAGCTTGGGCTTGGGATACTGATAACAAAACGTTTTTCGAAGACTTTGCCGAAGCCAAATGGGATTTTCCCACCTGCCTCGGCGGCATCATGAATGTAGCATGCCCTGAAAGAAGCTTGTCTGGGCGGCGGAGCATCATACGCTCTAGTTCACGCATAGAATCCAACGTAATGTTTCTTGGAAAAGCGAGTTCTGCTCAGCCATGAGGAGGTACTCGAGCGGCCTTCCGGCTGACCAGTCTCTCGTTGCGGTCCAGGGATGCACGGCTACTGTGCTCCTCGCTTGGAAGGGCCAGGATTCCGCGACTTTCTTTGTACAGTGCGCAAATGTAGGCGACTCGCATTGCTTCCTCAGGTAAGGTGTTGCTCGGGCCTCCGACGAGACACGGTTCCACGTTAAACAGAATGGCCACCTCGTTGGCCGTTCCATACATACACGGGCGATCGCTTTCGGGCACGCCTAAGCAACGCTTCGCAGCATCGGCTCATTGAGAGAGGGTCTTGCGGTACAAGAACTGCTTTGCGCTAGAATAGTTCTGCCAGGACGCTCTTGCGTTGGTAAACGGTTTGGATATCTCCTTGGAAAATGAGCAGACCACCGTTGCCTTTGTTATTTGCTGAGGCTCTGCTCTGCTGCATTGTTCCAGTGTTCGGGATAAGGTGCTCCAGCTGACTGAAGATCACCGAGTAGTTAACCCCATGGAGAGGAACCGACTGTCGGATGCGGGCTTCAAGCTCGGGGAAGGGGACACCAGGTTATGCGGTGAGAGGGGCGTCAAAGACTCTGTCTCTGCCCGAAGTTTGGACTGTGGCAAAAGGCTGATGGTTATTGAAGGCTTGGAGCGCGTCGCTCCGAAAGCTTGTTTCTGAATCAATTCGCTTGCGTCGCAGCTTCTGTCAGAGATGAGGGAAGACCTTTTAAATCCAGTGAGCAGTAATCATCCCACGCGTTTCTTGCCGCTTCAGGTTGTAAGCCTAGAGAAAGTTAATGCTGTTTGCTGAAACCAAAGAAAAGGCCTGTATCGCTGCTCCTCTGCTCTGGGATAGAATCTCTGACAACGGCCGCCTACCTGGTCGCCGGTGCAGGCATGAACATCGCGCGCGCGCTGGGCGACAAGTTCCTCAAGGGCCAGAACGTGGGCCTCTCTGCGCACCCCCACGTCAGCAGGGTGCATCACGTGACGCCCGACACGCGGGCCAGCCTCGTCATGGCCAGGTACGTTTTCGTACTAAAGCCTTCAAAGTCGTTCCCCAGGACTCTGCTTCACTTCTGATGCTTGGCTTCCAACATAGACTCGCTATTTCAATGGCTATTGGCAGAAAGTTCCGGGGGCCGCAATCGGTGACGGGTTTGGGGATCGCGCTGCCGTTCTTGACGTCAGAGTTTCGAGCGCACCGGCTGCAGTAGATTTGATAAGTAGAGAGAGGAAGAGGGTTGTGGGGAAGCTTACAGTCGAGAACACTGTGCGTGATGCAATCGCCTGTTGTCTGTACAGCGACGGACTGTGGGACGTTATGAGCGGCAAGCGCGCCCTGCAGCTGATAGCGGAGGTAAGCCGCACCGCCCGAGCCGCCCCTCGTTTGTGCGACTCGGGTCTTCTTGCCATTCATGTTCTCGGAGGAGCCCAGTTTTGTGAGCACGGTCCTGATGCCCACTTCATTCGGACCATTTGGACTGGTCGCATCATCAGACTACATCATATCTGCAAAGCTTAGGTCGCTGTTCCGGCCCAAACTCTTGGTGCTGGCCCCGAGCATATAAGCCCGAGGCTTGGGAAAGGCCGCAATTTTGTCGGACACGTTCAGCAACCGTATATGAGTCTCTTACCAAAACAGGGTTTCTCGTGCAGGTTAGAGCAGCCCGTCAAAGGGCACCGGACGCTGTCGACGCCGCGAGCACCGCGCAGCAGGCTGCTGAGACGCTAGTGATGCGGGCGAGGATGGCCAAAGCCCAGGACAACGTCACAGCATTAGCAATAGGATTCTTTGCCGACGCGTCTCTTGTAGAGCAGGGGAGTCTGCCTCGATAACCAGGGCTCCACAAAACAGCGGATGTCTTGTACCTCACGAGACGCCGTGACTGGGTGCATCTTCGCACCTGGAAGCTGTACCATATGCAATCCCAGATTGACTCGGGTCGTTTTGGCTGATTTTACGTGCACTTAGGCGAGAACTTAACGGCCTCATGGCTGCGGGCTTGTATTGCTAAAGTACAGGCTTTGTTCGAATCAAACAACCACATCACGACGCCTTCGGGCTACGGGCGCGTGCACAATCAAAAAACCGCTTGCAATTCTGCATGACCATACATATATGTTATGGCTATATATATGTTGGTGCTTAAACGTTTCTGTTAGCACCATTTGAGGAGATAGGAGCGTGAGGCATGAGAAATAATGCACAAAGATGACACTCCAAAGACGGTACATATGCACGATGTAGGATCGATTCGTTGCGAAGCTTGATGTGCGCGTACGGTGCCATAGTTTTGAGCTGCCACTCATGGCCGTACGTACATGCATGATGCGCACTGGACGCGCATAAACTATCTGCCCCGTGCAGGCTCAAATTCAATGGTGGCCGCAAATCGAGTCGGTCAGAACGCGAGCTAGATTGCGTAGGAGCCTGCATCATATGCAATGGACCTTATACTATAAGGCTCTGGAGGATTATATGACGCGTTTTTGGGTCTTTACGACAAAAAGGAAGGGGCGCTAGAAACATCTCAGTTTCGCTGGTGCACGGTACCCAGCGTAATAGATTTTCAAAAACTCTTTTAAGTTTGCTGAAAGTGTGCGCTTCAGACAATCTTGTAGAAGACTCAACGGGCAATTTGTAACCAAAAACGTCTGTGCAACTATGCTTTCTGTACAGCTAGCTCGACAGACCGACCGGCTTCCTGACTAGGCCTACAGAATTGTCACTTTTCTAGCCTTATCATTTGTCCATCATAACGTCGACGCATCCAGGAAGATCTGCTAAGACTTCGTCCAAGTCTCGCGATCCGTCGCTCATTTCCGTCTCGAAAATGTCGGAGGCAATCGTCAGACGCGTGCGGTGTCCCTCCATCTGACAGTGGTTTGCAAATCTGGCCCTCAGTGACGGCTGCACCACGTCGCACAAGGTACACTCCCAAAGACCTTTGGTCCAGATACCGTCGAGGAGGCCGTCAACTTTGCACTGATGGTTGAAGTGCTTGAGCAGGGGGTGGACGTTCGGGCCACGCTTGCGACCAGGGCTTTTCTTGGTGACCTCACCAGATGCGACCGGTTCAAGAGTTTTCAGACCGATGACGTCAGTGTGTGAAAGCTCCCGGCGTGAATCTTGAAGGCTCTCATTCTGCGGAGCGGCCGACAACGATGCAGGAGGACCAGGCAGAAGCAATGCGGACGGAGTATGTACAGGCGGTGGAGGTAGCTCCTGCAAAGGAACGATAGTGGATGTATACGGGCGCTTTGCCAGGCAACGGTACGACATCCATGGTGCAGGTGATCAGGATTGCATACAAGCGACGTATCGAGGCACGCGAAGAACGGAAGCAGGTCAAACTTCTGAAAAGACCCATGTACAAATTGGTACCAGATCAACGAATCTCCAAACACACACGCCCTTCAGGATCAGCTGCACCTTGCAGAGCATCAGCCCAGATTCAGAACTCCAACCCGTGGTGTAAAGGAGTGGAATTCAGACTTTGAGATGGATAATGGACGCAAAGAGAATCGGAGAATTGGAGTTACGAACAGTCCCGCTCTGACGTTTTCAGAGAAGAAGTGCGTACCTTCTCCTCCTCAAGCTCCATCTCCTCGATTCTTGGGGGCGGCGGATCGGGCGGCGTCAGATTCCTCCGCGGAACCCTGCGGCTCCGGCAGCTTGAGGAACGCTGGATCTGTCGACATTGAGCTCGGGGTCACATTATGAAGGGGGGCAACAGGCTGGAATCAGCCCTCTGGATTAGATGAACCGAGTTTGCCGGTCCGAAATGTCACGCCAGCGAGATCGCAATCCGATGAACGGTTGATCGCGGAATTTGTCAGAAGACCGTGGAAACAGGAAACAGCATAACTGATTAGGGGGACCAGAAAACTTTCAAAAGAAGCGATACCTGGATTGCAGTCTTCAAGGTTAAAAGGAGTAGGTCTCCTATGGATCGGCGGAAAATCTTTCAGGAGGGAAAGAGTGACGTTTGTTGGGCTGCAGACGACGGAATTCACAGCTCACCTACTCCTCAAAAGCACAAGCAAGTCATGATTCCGCCCACGGATGTCGCCTTTACGATTCAGATAGACCTACGACACCGCCCACGTAAGCCGCGCACTTTTCGAAGCGAAGGATAGAGTTCAAAAGCGCAACAAAATTTAAGGCAGCGTCGAGAAATTTTGGTGGGCAGTAATCAGAGGATCTCCAATGGTCAAAAGCCGCTTGTGATATTTATAAAGATATCTCTATGTGAAAACAGCTTAGGTTGCACTTGGGCAAAGTATCTAGAACAGCCTTCTCAAGAACGCCCACTTCTAGCAAGTCTCGATTTTAAAAGCTTCTTCAAAACCGCGCCAAAGATCCTCTCAACCGTTCAAGCATTGGTAAAGATACTCGTCGTCAGTACCTGCCTGCGCTTCCACCTGCCCCGTGGTCATGAAGGACACAATCTGGCGCGCGCGGATGAGCTGCTCGCGCAGGTCCATTTGGGGGTACTCCTTCTGCACCATCTCTAGTGCTGTCAGTGGGAAAGCTTCGCGCTTCGCCTCCGCCTGCGTTGATTCCGCCTTCGCTTTCCGCTCCAGCAGCTCCACCTTTTCCTTCTCCAGAAGCCGCCTCACAGGTGAATCTTCGTCGCACACGACCCGCTTCTCCTCGCGCCCTTCGTCGCACTCCGCGGCCGCGCGCGCTCTTTTCTGGGGCTCTTTCTTCGTGCCGTCATAGCACACCATTGATGACTTCACCCCGTTCTGATGGCAGAACACCTCGACGCTCTTTCCCTCGGGGGTCAGCCCCGCCAGTGCCTGCGCGAGAGCGCGCGCGTCTTCTTCGCTCGTGAACCGTTCCTCCATCTTTTCCCAGAGCTTGCACGCGCGCCGGCGCTCGTCGGGGACCAGCGCGCCTTCGCGCGCGCTCACGGAGGCCATGTGCGCGCGCACCGCCCTGGGCGACAGTTCTTCCTCCTCTAGTTGCCCAAATACGAACCACTGTCTTTCTTCGTCCCAGGCCGCGCCTTTGGGCGCCCAGTGGCGGACTTTCTGGGCGCCCACCGTGCACCATTCCCCGAGCACCGCAGACTCCGTCAGCGTGTCGAACTTGGACCTGACGTCATGCCTGACAGAACCCGTGAAGTGCTTGGCGATGGCGGCGTAGTCGAGAGAGAAAGTGCAGTCGATCTCGTCGGCTGTGGCTCCATGCTCGGAATTGGTCTCAGGATCGTGGGCCATCGGGGGTTGATGCAAGCGGGCACAGGGAGGAGTCAAAGGCTCCGTTTTGGTGCTTCCCATGTCGTAGAGACAGCTGCCAAAAGAGGATGGGCGTAGCTTTCAAACGAGGGGAAAGTCACACGTCCCTCTCACTCGTCCCCCACAGTTTCGCAAAATCTGTCGGAGTCCTCTGATCTCTTTAGCTGAGACTTTCAAGAGAAAGCCAACCCCTGTTCTAGAACTCAGGAGGGACCGGCGATATAGTCTCGTATAGTGCAGTGGCTTTCAAGTAAGCACAGGATGTTCGAGCCCGACAAAAACTCCCCTAAAGCTGCTCAGCTGCTTCTGTCCAGCTGTCGCACCGGTTCTTCCGCGCGAAAAGCAAATAGATAGAGAGTAAGACTATCCAAGCCGTGACACTCCAGCATGTGAATAGATTCCTTTCATGACGGCTAATGTAAGCTCACCTCGAAGCGGTGCCCAGAGGAACGGAGAATAGTCAGAGGAGCACTTTCTCGGACTGCTGATTGATGTCGACACCAGCGATAAGTGGGCGGCACACCAGTGACCAGAGCCAGCCGTATGCCTTCTTACCGCATCGGGGCGCATACCTCTCAGAAACGGTGTCCGAGGGCGGCACACTGACTGATCTTCCAGACATGCACGTCACCAGCCCTCAGCGTGCGAGCAGCTGCCTTACACTTGATGAGTCAGCCCATGATGAGCTAGCCCGCCCGCTTTTGAATGCAGCATGCGCGCACGTACTTATACAACACCTGCATCGTCCTCAACTGTGTATATAGCTTCCTGGCCCGATTGTGATGCAACATATGCAGACAGACATAATCAAATACTATAATGACGATCATCACTCATATCATTTTGCTGGATGAATAAGATCGAGATGAATTAGCGAGCGACTCTTAGACTTGATCATGTACTGTTGGACAAGATCACGTTTCACCATGTGAATGTGGATAACTTTAGTCACACATTTCTGACATAACAAGCATGACAGGGATCATTGAAGCTTATGTACAGTGTTCAATATCAATTGGAAGACGAATGATGAGTGCAATGGGTTAACGAAACCTGCTACCTGTCTGATTAAGTAGACCTGTACAACGCAGACCCGTGTGCGCTTGCACAGAACTAACGTCTGGCTTCCTTCTGCTTGCTTTGAGATATACCAAAGTATTTTAGCCACCTTTCGCCGCATTAACCGGATCCAAACGCAGGCCTACTGCTACAATATCTCCGATTTCGATGTTCCATGATTGCAGGGCGCTGATCTGACTGTCTTTCAGAGAAATTAAAACTCTAATAAGGCGCAGATTGGCAGCCGTGGAAACCTATACAGCTGGTCATGCCACGAGTGCAACGGCGCTCATGATCCCTAGCCCCAGGAGGATTAGCGCAGCTTGCACCCAGCGGTTGGGCAGCGCACCCATCCCGTCCTGGTCGGTCAACTGCATCATGACTATGTACAAAACCGTGCCTGCGAAAGCATTTGAAGCGGACGGTCAAGTGGCGGGCAAGTACTGCGAGGGGTGCCAGCTGCTACACGACAGGCACGAGCTGGGAAGGGTCGGGTGCAGCAAGATCCGTGAACAACCACGAGTTGGTACACGAACGGTGTCGCTTTGCTACCGCGAACACCCTAGACACCTTGAGGCGAAACCCAGTGACGGCCTCCAAAACGCATATCCACAACCTCGAAATACTCTCGACGACCGCCGCTCATAAACCAAAACATCCAGCCACGGCTTCACCATCAAGGCACGCTTCATACGTCAAGTCACGCTTCCAAGATTCGGCCTGCCCCTCCCCGTGACCCGCTACGCTCACCTGCTCCGAAGGCCTGCGTGATGCTTTCAACGATCCGCCCGGTGGTACCACGCACCAGCAGCTCGGCCATGCCCACAAAGACGCCGAGGGGGGTCATCGCGCAGTAGAGCAGCATGATGGTCACCACCCGCGACAGGGGGACGCCCTCAGCAGCAAACTGGACCCCCACCGAGAAGGCCTCGGTGCCCTTGTGTGCGAGAACGGCGATGAGGAGCGAGATGGCGCCCTGAGAAACACGAACGGGTGGGTAATGAATGCAAGTACCGATGTGCTTCAAAGACATAACCCGAGACGGCGATCTTAAGGTCGTGTATTCATGATTGGGCTGACTGTCAAGACGAGAAGACAAGTCAAGGGCGATGAGCGGTTTCTGAGGCGCCGAACTCTTCTGAGCACTTCGCCAAGCCCAAAAGGTGCAGGAGTCTGAGACGAGCCCGCCGTAAGTCGCCAAGCACAGCTGTCCAATAAACAACGCGCGACACAACTAGAAGTAGTAAAGCGGTAAGAATAAAGCACAGCCTTACCTGGTCTATCTCGCGCCCGATCCCAAACGCGGCCCCGACCACGAACGAGTGCAGCGAGAAGAGCGACGCCAGGATGTAGGCCATGCCCGAGCCCCCCGAGAGCATCACGTGGTGGTGCTCCGCAGTGTGCGAATGGTGGTGCAGCTGCCGGTGGTCGTCTGGCGGGCAGGGGGGGGAAACAAAGCCTTCGTGCGAGTGGCCGCTGTGACCCCCCGGCTCGGAGTGGGTGTGGCGGTGGCGGTGTTCGGGGTGGGTGAACAGGTCCTAAAGAAAAGAGGAGTTGGGGAAGTGTGAATGGCAGCTTCGAGAGATATAGAAGCACAAACAAAATGCGAGAAGAATCCAAAAGCTGGGAATCTGCAAAACTGGAGGAGCGTTGTCCCTTAAAATGGCTGCTCATCTGAGCTTTTAGGGAGGAACGGGTGGTTTGGCCTTCCTCTAAACAGACAAGAAAGTCTTTTGTTAAAATCTGGTGGCAGTTACGCACGGAGCCTTCTATACCAGAGGGCTAAATCGAGTTACAATTCACATTTAGAAGCAGATGTTGGAAGAAGCCAAGTTCCTTGAGGCACCAACCTCATGCAGCACCACTGGACAATTGATTGCCTGCGGAGACCACAGACTTCCCGACTCATTGCGCTTCAGCTTCGCCCCCCCTCTTCTTTGCCCCCCCTTTGCGCGCTTGGCCGAGTTTTCTCGACTGAGAGACCCTCCTCCTTCAGGCCCCGAACCTGTTCGATGCAAGCTGGAATGACTGGAGCAAGAATGACCGTCATCACCCGAGGAGCGCCTCCCCGCCTTCTTGAGATTGCCACTAACCGCAGCACCCCCCGCCTCTAGATCGCTTCCCTGTGATTCTCCCCCTATTCGAACTTCGCCGGAACCCCCCGTCCCAGCCTCTCTGAGAGAACGCACTGGGATCAGGACTTCCTTGCCCCCCTCTACAACAGGCTGCTGCCCCTCAAGTGGTATCAACAACCGCACGTCCTCAGCGGGGGGCCCCGTCCTCACTGCTTCACTCTCTTCCCATACCCCCCTGCCAGATGACACTCCCTCTGCCGGCAACAAAAGCGCGCGTGTCTCATCCACGTTCTGTAGAAGAGGGGGAACGTAACTCGGTGGCGCTGGGCGTATGCGCACAACTGGAGACCGAGAGCCGTCAGACGAATCAACGATCATGCCGTATGTGGACACGGGCTCGACGCGTACAAAGCAGATGCTTGCCCCTCCCCGCTTATGGGCGTTGGCGGCGACAGCCATCATTCGTGAGCGGTCCCTGGAAAACGCGAGCAAGGTGCATGAGCACAATGAAAAGGAAAAAAACATGGCACATTTCTTGGTGTGGGTTCCAAGAAAAACTTTCAGTTGCTTGCTATCAGAGACCAAGGTAACATACGTCCGCGTTCAATCGCCATCATTGATTGTTCTTCAAACACTCTGTCGTTCAGAGAGGGATTGTCTGGTGCGGAAGAGCATCAGAAAAATTTCCGTTCGTCGCATCCGCATCAGTGAGCTGATTGCAGTGGAGCAAGGGGTCCGGGGCGCTATTCTGCACCTGAACGTGTGCTGCTCAAGAAACCAGATGATGACCACTCCCAAAGCACATATGAGGTACGCCACCGGAAAGTTTCTTTTCCCGACCCTGCCGATGCCCAGCTTCTGCAGATTGTCCGCTGCCTCTGGCAGCATGTGAATGAGCCCCACTCCGAGGAAGACACCCGCAGTGAAGAAGCGGCTCAGATCCGTCACCATGTTCTGTGCCACAGAGAATCATCTGGTGATCAAGGAGCTCGCTATAGAAAAGCTTGAAGCTGAATCCGTGGGCAAATCTGGAATGAAGCAGCATTTGGCCACCGCTCTGACAAAAGCATCAGGACACAGTACGTGAATCCAGTGGGGAACAGAAAGGGGTTGCGAATGGCTCTGACTTGGTCAAGCAGCAATGCAGCTAGGTATGATGGACCTTAACATGCAGAAACAAGTGGACTTTTGAAGATGGAAAACATGTCAGCAACGTAAATGGAGTGTCGCCCTCAAGGTTTTCTTCCATTGTGAGCGACTGGTGGGGACAACCAAGCTCACCCTTTTCTCGGCAGAGACGGTTCGCAGTTTCAGCGGAAGAAAACTTCCGACCAGGCTGATGACCAGGATAGTCCCCACAGAGCAAAGTTTGAAGGCTATGACTGACATGCCCTCCATGCTTGACTGCCAATTTTGTTGCCTGCGGTCAATAAACTTAAAGTTTTCACTTTTTCTGTGTGCTCAAGAGTAGCAATACTGTAGCATCACAATTGTGCTTGGTAGGGTCTCTTCCCCAGCAGCCAGATCCTTGCATGGTGCCATGGCGCCCTCCCTGCTTTTGACAACCGTAGGATAATATTATTACCGGGTCGGTATGTGTCATTGTGCAATGTGAGCTGACATAGACTAGCTCGAGCTGCTGCAATTCTGAATCTCCTGGGGGAGCAAGAACTAGAGCGCGACATTGTCCACACCACTGAGGCCAGCGAGAGAAAGAACAGACCAACTTTGGGCCGTCGAAAGTTGTACAAACGCGTGCATCGCAGCCCTCGATTGCAGAGACTTTTCGAGGGCGCAACCGTCTGTGTCGAACCAGGGAAGAGGAATCTTTGGTGGGCCTTGCGCTGGCCACCTCTCGCCTCCGCCTCAGGAAACCTACGGAGCAGACGGAACATCACCAAGACCGAACAGGGCCTCGGCAGGAAACGGAATCTTGGCTCCGCGGCACGGCTGGGGAGGGCAGCAATTGCTGTGCACATTGTACTAGCTGTAATACAGTGACGTTCAGGTACGGTAGGTACAAGCCCTCCCATTGTGCCATTGAGTGGAGACATGTGTTCTGACCCAGCAACGCTGGCGAAGCAAGCGGCGGCAGGAACCGCAAGGATGCTAGGGACACTAGGGCTTGGCGTTTGCTAGGATTCGGTAGCGTTCTTCTTCGTAAGGGTCTCGTGACTCGCCTGCCACTTTTTGGTGTAGAACAACTGGAGGGGCCACTTACATCATCGGTGGAGGATTGAAAGGCGGCACACGAAGGCGCTGGTGCAATCTGCAGGTGAGCTCATCCCGTTCCCAGCTGTCCTGTTCGGATCTTGGTATATGGTGCTTATTTCAGCTTTGAGTTTCGTTGAGCTGGCAGCTTCTTCAAAAGAGGTTTTGAGTTTCTTCTTGGGCGGCTCGTATAAAGCCAAGGGTCACACTCGATGCTAGGGGTGGCATGTAACATGTTGAACTGGAACAGGCATGCATAGAGAAGAAGGACGGAGGAAAGCAAGATCTTGATTCCATTCAAAGGAGGACGCTTTTTGCTCTTCTCCCAGGCAGCGAAGCAACTCTATTGATGAAATCTCTCCTGGAGAAGCCTGCTCATTTTCTCGGTATCAGTTGTCAAACGTTGGCAGATGATCTTTTAGAGCGTTCATGTACTTTGCGTAGTCAGAGATCAGGTGCATTCTGTGATTGCAGTGGTGGTAAGCGAGTAATGTTGTAAATAGAGCATGGGCAGATTTTCAGGGACCCTTCCTGTAGCCTCTCACTCTTCTGGGCATAATAAGGCTGTTTTCTGGCAAAGAAGAGGTTTCAGATTGCTTCCTTAACCTTGTCTATCACATTGGTTGTTGGATCTTCACAAGGACAGCAGGGTGTTGACGGAAGTTGGTTGATTAGCCCTTTTCGATGACAGCTTTGTTTGATGATGTCATCTTGCGAATTCTATGGAGCTGTCTGCTTCAAAGTTCTTCATGGTGGTCTGTTGTTTTCCTCAAAAACTAGACCTTTGATTCAGTTTGGGAGGCAAAGGCCAACTCAAGGGTGGGCTTTAGGAATCCATTTTGGCACCTTAGCAAGGTTGCCCCATCAGATTCGTTGGGCCTCATCGTAAGCACATGATTTATTATGCCCTTGACGCAGATTGTAAGCCCTAGCAATCAACAAGATTCTTGCTTAGGAGAGTCGAGCCTGCCATGCAAGTTGGAAGTTTTGATCCGCGTACCAGGAATAAGGCCCTTTTTCCACTGAGCGGTTGGAGTTCCTTAAGGTCGAACTTCCCTAATTCGATGCGCGCGCGCGCGTTTGACGTCCTGGGGGACGTCTTCGCTAATAACAAGAGCGTCGCTCAATATTTTCGCATTCTGTTTTCTGCATGTGGAAGGGCTTTACAAAAGCTACCTTTAGAGCCACTAGCCGGCCGAAACCGACCACTCTAGCTACATGGTCAAAACGGCAATTTTGCCACTTTTTGGGCATTTTCTGAGCACTGGGTCCCTTTACGTATTGGGTTATGGGGGTCGCTCCAGCAAAATTTTTGGAGATCGAGGAGGGGGAAACATTATATTCGATCAGTGGGGCATCTTTTGGAACATTTTTCAAGATCTTTTCGACAGAGGAATTTTCAATGAGAAAGGTTCAAAATTGACCAAACTCGAAAACTGGGCAAAATTGGCTTTGGGTCAACTTTGAACCTGTCTCATTGAAAATTCCTCTGTCAAAAGATCTTGAAAAATGTTCCAAAAGATGCCCCACTGATCGAATATAATGTTTCCCCCTCCTCGATCTCCAAAAATTTTGCTGGAGCGACCCCCATAACCCAATGCGTAAAGGGACCCAGTGCTCAGAAAATGCCCAAAAAGTGGCAAGATCGCCGTTTTGACCATGTAGCTAGAGTGGTCGGTTTCGGCCGGCTAGTGGCTCTAAAGGTAACTTTTGTAAAGCCCTTCCACATGCAGAAAACAGAATGCGAAAATATTGAGCGACGCTCTTGTTATTAGCGAAGACGTTCCCCAGGACGTCAAACGCGGGCGCGCGCATCGAATTAGGGAAGTTCGACCTTAAGAGGAGATTCAAAGATCACCTAGAAAGACCGGAAGGATGTGGAGCTGGCCAACAGGAATTCAGAGTATTGAAGACCGATCTCCGCTCAATGAAGGGGCCTCCGGTCCTTCTTCTGGTCGGTCTTCATCTTAAAAACGGAGGCACCAGGTGTAGACAGGCTACTTAATCATTGGGTTTCGAGCCCCCACGGTGCGCGCCACCTGCTTTATTGGCTGATGTCACCGGTAGCTTTGGACGACCAGTGAAATTATCTTAGCACCGCTGGATTCCACCAGTAGCGAAAATGCATTTTCTTGCCCACCGACGTGGCACGGGGTTCCTGGAAGACCGGTCAGTGTAAGACTGGTTCACCGGAAACAGGGGGTTTCAGCCGATGGGAGTTCAGGAAACAAAGGTCGACCGCTTAGTGGACGAACCCCCTAAATTGCAAAAGGCACTTTAAAAAAGTGGTCGATTTTTTGCAGGTTTTATTTTGACATCTGGACCGTCTAAGCAATCCGCCTGCTTTGAGCAACTGTAAGACATGGTGGGCAAAGGAGTGGAGGTGGCTGGGCCTGCAGACATTGAGAAGGTGAGCTAGCATCTGGCAGTCTGGTCCCAGTGCAATTGCTTTGGCTTTGATGGTCGCACAACACAGGGCATTTGTTAATGACTTGTAGAAGAAGTATTCTTGCCACAATAGTTCTTGTTTAGGAGCATACACAAGATAATTGTACACAATCCTGGATGAAAATATCTCAGAAGAGGTGTGAACCTAGAGAGGGTTGACGTGCACTTTGTCTGGCAGGGGGCACGTCCCTGTCTGTAGTTTGAAAGGGCTTAGCCTGTTTTCCTGCAGGCCCAGGCCTTGGTAGAGATGGCTGGAGCTCCTCCGTTTGAGACTCGGGCAGATTTACACCGAGCAAGTAGAGCGGAGGATGCGATAATGCAGCATGGTGAGAGCCGGAGAGAGGAGGCTGGTCCTCCGGAAGATAAGATAGAGGAAGGCATTCCTGCTATGAACGAAGATGAACCAAAGGTACTTTGCCCGCTCTCTTGGTAAATTCCAGGGAATCAGATTCTGAAACGGGTCTTGTCGGGAAGGTTCAAGCGTTCTCTGCACGTACCGCGGTTGGCGCCTGAAAAGGAAATGCTTGTTCCTTAGTTATTTTTTGAATTGCAGTAGGGGACAAGTTGTGGACATGCACTCGATATTGTCAGCGCATCTGGAGAGCGCTTTTACAGTGTGAAACATCAAGATAGTGTCCAGGCAACGCTGTCCTTTTGAGCCTTTGACGTTATGCAAATTGTCTACAAAAAGCTTTCCCCTGACATCATCTTCACGCAGCCTGACATCATCTTCGTCCCTGCAGTTCGCCAGAGTTGGTTATTGGGGCATCTTCAAGGCCTTCTGCATTCTCGGGTGGACGGCCTTTGGTGGGCCTGCAGCGCACATCGGGCAGTTCCACAAGGCCTTCGTAGAGAGAATGAAGTGAGGCAGGCATGATAGTTCTCAAACTCGTGTTGCTCATCTTAGCCCAAGCATCGCTTTTCTATACAGTCTTGAGCAAAGCCGGTTGCTTTGAAGTCTCGTCTGCACGTGCGGGCTGGACGTAGTGTTTGTACTATGACCTCAAAAAAGCTCATCTGCGTTGATTTTGAGGCATGATCCTTTGGGTAGTTCTTTCGAGAATTCGTACTTCAGTTGCCGCTTCCTAGATTCAAGTATGTGGCATCGCAGTAGCATGTTCAGGTCGCGTCCGCTTGAGAGAAGGAACTCTTGCTCTCGTTTCGACAGGGCCGAAGTCAAGTGGTCTCTGCAACCTTGTTGGAACTTTTTGCAGTCGGAGTATCCTCCAAAGCACCCAAGAGACCCGTCGAAGGAAAGGGAAAGCTTCGGGGCACACATACTCAACTCAAGAACTTCTCATTGACAGGTGGATGAGCGACGGCGTGTTTGTGGAGTTGCTGGCCCTCGGCTCGTGCATGCCCGGCCCCACGTCCACCCAGATGTCCTTCTCGCTTGGTATCGTGCAAAAGGGGGTCACGGGCGGGCTGCTGTCGGGGATCCTCTTCCAGTACCCGGGACTAATCATGATGAGCATCGTGGGCTTTGGAGCGGGGAAGGTACGTGAAAATATGTGTTCAGTCGTTTGTCGAATCAATTCCACACAGTGCCTCTATGTTGCCAAGTCCTTCCGTCTTTGCTTCATTGTTTTAAGTGCCGTGCTCGTGACATTGGCAGGGTCGGCTACACCTTTTCGACCTTCTGAAAGCTCGGCCGTCGCTTGTTTTCACGTCAGCACCGAAGATCTTCTGAAAAGCAGGAGTTTAGTGAGCCTGTGTTGCGTATATTTGCAGCACAACGTCACTCGTTAAACCCTCTCCTTCCTGGGACGACTGCAGTTTCTGGTTGAACCGGCAAACTGGCTCCGGTCCTTCTCCGCCGGACTGTCCGCTGTTGCCGTGGCCCTGGTTGCGGACGCTGCGTATTCGTTGTCCAAAAAGCTGTGCAAGAACAGGGTTACAATCTTCTGCTGCGCCATTTCGGCGGGAGTCACCTACTACTACGCGTCCCAGTGGATTTTCCCGACGCTCATTGCGATCGGTGAGCGCACAGATTTCAAACGCGAAGACAGATTCGTAATCAGGATTACAGGCATGCTTCTTGCGGCGGCGTGTCACGAGATCCACCTGGCAAGTCGAAGTAGGGAGTGTTAGCGACGCCGTTGAGGACATTGTATTGCTTCGGTTCGTGCGCTTTTCTCTCTGTTTGAGGAGGTGGCTTTGCTGTATTTGCTCTCCGAAGCAGTAAGCAAGACGTGTTTGCTGGAACTCTGTGAGTGCTCATTTTTTTCGAGGTCACGAAACAATTGAACATGGTCAGAGGTTGTCACCAGCGAGCGTTCTGAACGGTTGCAATTCTGCCTTCTGGCCAGGCGGCATCCTGACGATTGTTACTGAGCGCAAGAAGGACCTGAGCATCAGTTCGTCCGACTCCAAGGTCGAGCGGTTTGGGCTCAGCATGTATGGCGGCGGAATACTGCTGGCCTTCTGGCTGTCGATCCTCATCGGCGTCGTCATTGGCAAGAACAACACCAACTACGAGAGCGCCAAGTTCTTGCACTGGTTCGAGGTGAGGCTCTGCCTTGCAGCCGATAGAATGCTGTGCTGCTTCTCTTCCTCGTCAAGTATTCTACGGTCAAAGCTCAGTAGGATTAAACTCAATCGTTCGGAGACTGGTACTACGAGGGAATTGGAAGCGCTATCGGTTATGCTGATGTCAGCAGACCAGCAGCCCTGGCCAGCTTGATGGTTGAAACGAAATCCCGGCTTTTGTATCCAATTTTCATTGTCCCACGCTTTCCATCTGCCCAGAAAGCTCCAGGAAGCCTCCCTAGAAGATGGGAAAATGGTCAACGATATGTGGACATAAACGACCAGCCTCTTCGGCGTTCAAAAAGGTACCGCCTTGTATGTCCCCCTCAAGCAAATTCTTCAATCTTTCTCAACCTTTTGTGGGCACCTCCCCCGTCTGCTTTTCAAGTTCAATGCCTTCCAGAGCCTTCCGACGCCACCAGAGCGCCCCGGCAATTTTTGAACGCCCCCCCGCTCCTCCTTCGCAGTCGTTCTACGTGACGGGGTCCATCATCTTTGGCGGCGGCCAGGTGGTGCTGCCCATCATCGACCAGCAAGTGGTGAAGTACAACACGGTCTGCACGCCCATTTACACGTCCGGCGGCAACAACACCTTCAGCACGCCGTCCAACAACTGCGTCCGCGTTGAGTCGCCGGACACGTGGGTCACGGAGCAGCAGTTTTTGGCGGGGCTCGCCGTGGCGCAAGCCATGCCCGGGCCGCTCTTCAACTTCGCGGCCTATCTCGGCGCCATTGTAAGGGCTCCTTTTCGTAGATTTTGTATAACCAAGCAATGTGTGTAGTTTCAGTACTCACGGCAAGTTCCTCGTTGCACGCTGGAATTGACTTGATCGCCCATCTGTCGATCTTGAGTTGCTGACGTCTCTGAGTCTTTGAAGCGCGGCATCAACTGCTTTGCGGGCGGCCTTTGATTTTGAGTGTAGCCGTCGTTCTCACTCTCCAACCAAATGCTACTCAACATCGAAGTATTTCGACCTCCTTTTGCTGGGAACGTGCTTGCCAGCCAGCCATCCGGACACTTTTCTGACTGCTCTTTACCGTTTATGCTCCAGGTCGGGGGCTTCCCTGGCATCATCGCGTGCTGGCTGGGCCTGTTCGCCCCGGGCATTATGCTCATCTACGGCGTGCTCCCGTTCTGGGCCAAGTTCAGGAACTGGCCCTGGTGAGCCCTCCGTTCTGCGCCAGCAGGAGTGATTACAGTGTCTTTTCTGCAAGCTGGGCGCCACCCGCGGTTAGGGTTTGGTGGGCTTGGTTGTACGGTTCTTTGTCTCTTCATCGATGCTACCACTGGTCCAAGATGAGTGTCTGGTTCAAGCTGGGCGAAAAGCGGCAAGACGCACAAGGGCAACGGTGACATTGCCAAACGCCCCAAACGGGATTGGCACCGTAGGTACTTTCTTTGCTGCAAATTCGGTGCTACCTGGGGAGTGTTTTTATTCCTTGATCTTACTTGGTTGTGCTGTGGTCCTTTTAGGTACCGTCGGGCGCTCCCTGGCTTCAATGCGACCGCTGTAAGCCATTGCGCTCCGGTCTCGCTTCTATGCCTAGACGCGTCGTATCTGCTTATCTCTCAATGCTGCACAGTTTATCAAGGAACATCCTTGTCTTAATGCACCTCAATCTTGGATGCCCACTTTTGGCCCGCAGTCAAGACCTAGATTCTGCCCGCAAAGCGAGACCAGAATCTACGCAAGCGCAAAGGACATGCCCGGAAGCTGTGTCTGCAATGTGCTCTTCAGGAAAAAGTTGGCGCTTGCGCATGTACTGCGTACTAATCTGGTGGACAAGCCAGGAGATAGTGTCGTTTGTTCCGTAGCTTCAAAGTAGTCTGTCAAGTACTGTCGAGGCTAGCGGGTTTCGAGGCACTGTATCCTGCTTGCGTCAGCAGAGGCAGGATCGCACTGTCCGTGAGCTTGGCGATCTCCGTCACCCGTCCGTCATTGCTCGCGTCATGCACAGCCTTCCTCAGCATCTCAGACCCTTTTGAGGGCGTTCCTGACCTACTGATGACGCTCTTTTTTGCAGATCGGGCTCATCTACGCGTCCGTCTTCCAGCTAGGCCTCAAGGCGTTCGTCATCAGTCCCTTCCCCAATGCGTCCATTGTCATTGGGATTCTCGGCTACGTTGCTGTCTCGGCTTTCAATGTAAGGCTCAAAGTATCTTTGACAGCACACCGGCTCCATTTGTTCAGAACCCTCCAGACTCTTCATTCCATGCAGCCGTGTTTGCGGTACAAGACCCTTTCGTGTCTTGACGCCCAACGGTGGATAGGATCGCTATAGCAATCCGTTGCCGGTGCTCCCTCAAGCGAAAGCAGCGTTGTCGAGCACCACTTTATCGTCCCTTATCTTTCGCTGCTCTTCTGATCTGGTTGGGCTTGTTGCAGATGTGGGCTCCCGTCGCCATCTTAGCTGGGGGGGTCCTTGGCATCATCGCCTGGTATACCGATTGCCGTTGAGTAAAAGTTATGATTTGATTGCCTCGCACGAGACATCCGGCAAAAAAATCGAGGAGCGTAGCCCTACAGAGCATTGGGCACGTCCGCTGCGCCATTATCGAGCTAGAGGCTACTGCTGAGGCAAGAATTGTAGGCTGTGCTTATACCTCGCGTGCAATAAGAGTTTTGGGAAGTTGTTTGCTATGCGCATGCCCTAGGGTAGAAACGCGGTTGGGGAGGAGAGCAGAATGAAGCAGGTGCTCCGCTTCACTCATAGGCGTTGGTGCGCAGTCAACAGCTAGAAGCCGCTAATGAATGGAGAATGAGTCACCTTAATCAATGTCGTGTTTGCGCTAAAACGCACCGGAGAACAATCATTTGTTTTCCAAAACACGACTCGTAACGATCTTTCCCACGTGACCAAGCCTGCATCACATTCAAGAGATGACAGACAAGTCAATGCACGTAGACTCTAGGCTAGCGCAAGTTTGTGGACCATCGGGCCTGTGCCCGAGGTTGCCCAACTTTTTGATTCTGTCGAATCTTGGTACGTCTTTGTCGCCAACCGGAGCATGAACGGTGAGCTCCCGATGGTCAATGAACTCAATGGTCTAGGTTCTCCCTTTCGCACTGATGGTACATGTTATTGGTCGCTGCTCGTCATCATTACTGCTTCAAGGGCAGTAGATCAGCATAGCCACATGTGGAATCAGTCGCAAAGACGTTGCCGCCATCTGGAACCCGACATGGCTCGTCTTTCCATGATTACAATCTCATGCCACGATAATGCGAGACAGTCATGTCGTCGACGTGCACAGTGTAATATCGTCCAATGGGTCAAGAAACTCGGCCGAAGCATTGAAAGAACGACTCGAACTTTTCCGCCTCATGCATTGGCTGTAGAGCAAGGTCTCCATGGCAGTGCCGGTATATATGGATTTCGTGCTAGCTTTTGTGCGACTTGTTATAGCAACAAGGTATGTCCAAAAAGATGCAAGTCCTCTGAACTACAGCCTAAAAATCACTTGTAGCAAACATAGGATCGTCGGATGCATTGAGAATCATGGTGTTATGCAAATGCAGTGTTTCATGATTAATGCCCACCAATTGGAGGTTCCGTTCGAGGGAGGGATATACGGCCCCAGTCCGGCATGCCAACGTCAGCATCCGCACATGAACCGAAACAGGCTCCCCAGCTTTGGCTGGCCCCGCTTTGGTAAAGGGGCGTTGATGGACGGTGCCGCATTCAAAGCCTGCGGCCAGTAGTGGACTCTGTCGACGATGGTCCAGAAGTTGACTCGTGAGGAAGTTGCCTAGGTTGCTACCCTTCACAATTGGGCTACCGTACACCTGCGGTACTAAGGAAATGAGATACTCCTTCCCGGGGGCCCCAGCAGCAATGCAGTGAGACCGTGGATGTTGCAGCGCCGATTGCCGGGTTTGCGTGTGAACAACGGGGGAGGGCGTCATCCCCGTCGGTGGCATGGGCGCTGGAACCCAGGGAAATATTCAGGTGCGGGCTTCTGGAGGGGTGGGGACCGCCACCCCAATTACGGCAGGCCCAAGTGCAGAGTTCTTCTAGGGGACTTGGGAGCTAGGGCCGGGGCCGGAGCTGGTGAGTTGACCGGGCCATGTTAGGTTGGCGCCGCGCTGGGGTGCACGTCCGCAGATCAGGGGGTAGCTTTACACAGGGGCCAGCTTGTATCATGCGGTGCCCCGGGCGTATGGTTGGGGGCTAGGAGCAGGCACGTGCGGAGAACATCCACCAAGGAAGGTTTTTTGCTGCTTGGAGACAGTATCAAGCTTGCGTATGATGGCGTCAACTTGCTCACTGACTGCAAACCACGCCAAGGCGGTTGCAGTGGTTCTTTGCTCCCAATAGCGTCAGACTTTCTGTTTGACCATCCTGGCAGCTGCCTTCTTGTCAGTCATGAAGACCGTTGGGGAGCTCTTCGTGCTCGAAAGTGTCATCAAAAGGGCCTGCTCCGTATCCCTTGTATCTATTTGCATGCAGCATGCTCACTCTCCGGAGCACTGTCCTGCCAAAGGCACGCTCTCGCTCAAGGTACTCCTGGCTTGTTGGAGCATCCACCCAAACCCGAGGCTTGAGCGCAATGCTGAAACTGCACGCCCGCTCAAGGTAGCACTTGTACCCCTCCCCAATACCTCCATCGCATATTGCCCTCCCTACAGCATCCACAGGGCACTGCTCAGCCACCAAGTACCGCAGGTAGTCCTGAATCTCTTCTTCTTCAGGTGACTGGCCCTCTCGCGGCTCCGGAGCAGGCCCCTTAAGCGGCACACAACCGTTTTTGACTACTCTGAATCCAAAGGCCTCCTGGTTAGCAGGCACCGTTGCCGCCATGGTTCCTGCGGCTTGGCGTCGGAGGAGTCAGGCTTCCTGCGTGACAGCTTTTCAATTCCACTCACTATTATATAGCATGCTAGGTGAACCATTTCCTGCCCTTGCTGCAGCTGCCTCTCACCTAGATAGTGTACCTTTGGGAGACGTGAAAGTTTAGTCAGATTGGCCGTGAAGGGATCACCTCAGGCTGAACAAACAAACTGTACTGCATGACGAGCGAGACCGCCAAGCGAGCCTATAGCAGCCACACCGGCCCTAGGTCACAACCGTCAGCCGTCCGATACGTAGCAAAGTTCACCAAGGCCTTGCAATGCCGTCGATAAATTGCTCGCGCAGAGATAATACGAGATGGTATAGCTCGAGACCGCGGGGCTGGGGGCGCGGCGCAATCGATTCACGGCACTTCACTGTCTCTGCACAACAGTAATATAATCTTTTTAAGTACTTGATATTATCTTTTAGAATAATTAGAATTTGTTAAAAGTGACTGTAAGCAATGCCGTAGTATCCCGGGGAGACGCTATGATGAGCGCGAAGATTTCCCAGTACTGAGTGGCACATGGTGACCATTACTTACAAAATTGCGCATTGTGCGGTGTTGATATGTGTTCAGTAATGCAGTAATACAGGCCAGTGGAACCTGTTGTGCCTAATCAAAAATGGTGATTTGTCCTGCCACGAACACCCGCTCCAAACAGGGCACTGGTGATGCAGTGAAGCTGACAGCAAGCAAGTAGAAAGCAATGCTGTCGACACTTGGACGGGCAGACTCATTCACTTGAAGGATCTAGTGTCGCCGCAGAAGGGAGGGGCAGTCCTCGTGCATGCAGGCGCAAGGCAAGTTCGTGTCCAGCATTGACCAAGCTCGTTCTGCTACAGTAGATCCTTTCAAAATGCGTTGAGGCATTCGTTTGGCAGCTTGCAGGACACCTGCGCAACAATCAGGGCCGGTTCTATACCGGATTCTCGTGATCCAAGATTCTGCTGCTTGCCCCTCTTTATCCAGCAGTTGTGCATCACACTGAAACCCTCAGAAGGCTGAGGTTATTCCGCTCGGCCCGACAATGCACTCCGGGCGAGCTTACTTTTCCCTGGGTGACGGAACGACCGTGTCGGACCACTGGGGCCGATGTTTCCGGCCCTTCCTGGGTGCTAGGGTAAGAGCACGCTGCATGCCGTCAGTCACTTTCCCAGGCCACTTGTAGGTACCTAGTGGTCGATAACATGGCTCGAGCCCAGGCTCTGCTCGAAAAGGGGCTAAGTCAGAGCTTGTAGTTGCGATGATTTGATGTAAGAATATGAACTCGAGCAAAGGTCATCAAATGTCCTGGAAAAACGGGAGGCTAACGTTTTTCCCGCTGCTTTGACAGCCAGAGGGGACGGAGCCCAAAGAGGTGGCTGCATCAAAGTCTTCCAAAGGCAGGGCTGAGGCACGGGAGGGAGAGGCTCCTCAGCTGGTTGACGAGGAGGTGGCAAACCTCTTAGAGGGCGAGAACGATGGCCCTAGGGTGAGGTCGCACATGCTGGCAGAGCCTTCCGGTCTCCAGAGGTTACTCCGGACTTAGGCGTGAGAGCATAAAGCTCTGCCTGCGGTACGTGTGATGACACAGTGGTAGAGACAAACGCATCTTAGGGGCTGACTTTTCTTGCAAATCCTTGCTGCACGGTAGTTAGATCCATGGAATCTAGTTCTGAACGTCTTTCAGGCGCTTTTCAATACGAACGCATCAGTGCTTTACAAAGACAGACACTCTGCTCGTATGCAATCACCAGCACTTGCTGCTCGATTGCTCATGTCAAGGACTGCCACGTTTGCAGTGCGCCAGGATCGGCTACTGGGAGATTCTCAAGTCATTTTGCATCCTGGGCTGGACGGCATTTGGGGGGCCTGCAGCCCACATCGCGCAGTTCCACAAGGCCTTCGTCGAGAGAGAGCCACGGTGAGAACACGTTACTAATGACTTTCAACTTGACTGGCTCAAAATTGTGAGCAAGGAGCTCATGATGTTCTGTCGGTCACTTATGAGGCGCTTGTATTGCAAGCATCCCCTCTGCATTCCAGTGTGTATCGCTCGCCTGGATCCTTCTTGAGAACGAAGTTGGTTGCAAGTATCGCGACAGTCTGCAAGAGGCTTTCTCTACCAAATTTCTCGCAAGAACCGGGCTCCCAATCGACGTGAATTATGCGGCGTCACTGAACAACGTAGATTTGGACCCCCCTTTCCGGTGTATCAAACCTGTGAGGTCGAGCTGGACACTCGGGTTTGCGGATCACGTCAGCCACCGAAGTACCTGATCTCATTCTGATGTGTCTCTTCGCCTGTTGCACTCCCCTTTCAGTGGGCTTTACAATCTCGCGGCCGGCCCGCAGGTGGATGAGCGACGGCGTCTTTGTGGAGCTGTTGGCGCTGGGCACGTGCCTGCCGGGACCGACCTCCACCCAGATGTCGTTCGCGATCGGCATCGTCCAGAAGGGGATCCCCGGCGGCCTGCTGTCGGGGCTGCTCTTCCAGTACCCGGGCCTGGTCATGATGAGCCTTGTGGGCGTCGGCGCAGGCAAGGTGAGCGGCAAGCAACGTTACATGCTGATTTTGTCCAACTCTAGTTGCAATCGTAGCACGAGCTCATTGATCTGACGGCCTTTGCGGGCGATACGCAGATTTGTCAGAATCAGGAGCCCACTTTCTTGTGCAACAATTCTCTGAGCGGCTGCTCCTGGCCGTGGTTATAACCAACCGAGCGCCGTTTTTGCGGCAAGCGGACGTCGAAGATAGCGAACGACGGAGAAACGCCATAATATAACCTACAAACAGCTTCGTCTTTCGCAAATTCGTCCAATTCGTAGAACGCCGCCCACATGTTTTCACCTAGTCCCTCATCTTGGTAAGCTCAAATTCCGTTCTCCGCAGTTTCTGGTCCACCCCGCGGGCTGGCTGACGGCCTTCTCCGCCGGACTGTCCGCGGTGGCGGTGGCCCTGGTTGCGGACGCCGCCTTCCGGCTGTCCAAGAAGCTGTGCGACTCGCGGGTCACCGTCTTCTGCTGCGGTGCGGCAGCCGCAGTCACGTACTACTACCAGTCGCAATGGATCTTCCCGACGCTCATTTTCGCCGGTGAGCGGGGAGGCCTTTGCGTTGGCTCCTTGCTTTTGTGGTTTTTGGCAATATGCAACAATATCGCAGCTCGACTCGGAGAATTTGCTCTTCTACTCTTGATCGAGCGTTTCTGAGAATGCAACGGATCGCAGCTCGATTTGAATGACTTGCTCTCTCTGATCTTGGTCGAGCAGCGTCTCAAACGGCAAATCTTCAAAGCCGGTTGCGCAGTCGCTACTGCCTACCATAACAAGGTTCCAAGGACCATTCTTTTGCCGTAACCGTTACTCAAGGATTCTCGCTGCGCATGCACTACAAAAAGACTACCACGTTCAAACTCAAGAAGGAACATCCTTATGTTCCTTCGAGAGGGCTTGATCACGAATGGATCCTTGTTCCATTCAGGCGGACTTCTGACCATCATTAGCGAGCGGCACAAAGAGCTGAGCGTCAGCTCGTCCGACTGTGACGTCAACAACTTTGGGCTGAGCATGCGAGGCGGCGCGGCCCTGCTCTCCGGCTGGCTGGCTCTCCTCATCCTAGTTGTTGTCGGCAAGCACAGCACGAGCTACCACCACGCCAAGTTCCTGCACTGGTTCGAGGTGCGGACTCGAAGCGAAGATTATTCTTGGCATAGTATTGAATGGTTCAAATGAATTTGAATGTCGCTCTGTTTCGGGTACGCCTAAAAAGCAGACTGCTCCGTTTGCGATAAGCCGATCTTTTGACCAATGTACGACTCCTTCAAGTATTCTGGAACAACCCCGTTTCTTTGTAGTGTCTGACACCTCCCCCCCTTTCTTCTCAATCTCGCTGTTGCTACTTGAGTAAATTTGCCGTTCCAAGTAAATGGCAAGGAGAATTCCACAAAAGCGCCGATGAGGAGACTGATCCCTTGCCGCAAGCTGTTCACTGCCTGTCTGCCTTCCTTGACTTGACTGACCCGATCCCAGCTAATCTCACATCCTTCACCATCCTGACCTTTCTCCTTCATCGTTTCCCTGCAGTCCTTTTATGTGACGGGTTCCATCATCTTCGGCGGCGGCCAGGTGGTCCTCCCCATCATCGAGCAGCAGGTCGTTCACTACAACACCGTCTGCACGCCCGCCCACGCTTTTGCCGCGAACGCCACTTTCGGCGCGCCGTCCAATGGGTGCGTCCGCGTTGAGTCGCCGGACACGTGGGTAACGGAGCAGCAGTTTTTGGCGGGGCTTGCCGTGGCGCAGGCCATGCCCGGGCCGCTCTTCAACTTCGCAGCATACCTGGGCGCCATCGTAAGGGCCTCGCATTGGCGGTCACTCAAAAGTGTTCGTGCTGCTCTCAGCGGAACCTGTGCCAATCAGGGTGGCTTATGAAAACTTTGGCCGCTTTGACGAGCTTCATCGTCAGCAAATCAGCCCTTGTTGAGCGTGACGCAGCTTGAACGTTGAAATCAATCACGTGTTGCACGTCATTAACTAGACTACTTCCGTCTTAACCTTCGCTTTTACAGCTCGCTGAGGTTAGACCCGGTCCGTCCGACTGCAATGACGTGCAGTCCCTCTCTTTTGATCCACCAACCTGCTTTCTTTGGAAGTGAGGACACAAACCCATCAAGAGAGAGTGGTTATAAAACCAGCAAAGGAAATCTCAGTATGTGTGTGCTCGCCTTGCAGATGGGCGGCGTCCCGGGTATCGTTGCATGCTGGCTGGGCCTTTTCGCTCCCGGCATCATGCTCATCTACGGAGTACTCCCGTTCTGGGCCAAGTTTAGAAAGTGGCCCTGGTGAGCGCCGGACCGCCCGTTTTAGGAGCAGTTAAACTTTCTTGAGCAAAGTCTCCCGTTTGGTGATCAAATATCTTGGCAGCTTCGAAGAAACGGCATCTTGACTAAGAAGATGCGCCTCCAAATATGGGCCTGAACCATCTCGACTGCCTGCGAGCAGACTACAGGGCGGTAAAAAAATTCGGTTAGCTTTTTCAACGTTTCGGATGCGAGGTGCTGGTCAAGGGAAATGAGGTTGTCGAGGAGTGCCGATCGGGGGATAGAAACCCTTTTTTCCTCTGCTCTTTGCCAGGTACCGACGAGCTCTGCCTGGGTTCAACGCTACCGCCGTGAGTCCGTTAGACCCTATTTGCGGAGAATGTCGCATCGAGCGGAGCCTCCGTTTCAGCGGTGCTAGGAAAGGCGCCGATGCGTTGATTGGAGCAGCTTTCGCTTATCAGACCGGCGCTCATTCGTGATTTCGCACGCGTCAAATGTTCCCCGTGCCCTTTTCAAGGTTCGAACGGTGAATTTCTTTTGATGCTCCTTCGCCTTGCGCCTCTTTCACTCTCAAGATTGCCCCGGCCTTGCAGATCGGTCTCATATACGCGTCCGTCTTCCAACTAGGCTTGAAGGCGTTCGCTCTCAGTCCATTCCCGAATGCGTCCATTGTCATCGGCATCGTAGGATACTGCGCGACCGCGTTCTTCGAGGTAAGCTGCCGCCCACATCAAATTCGACGAGCTTGGGCAGGCATACTTGAGACTGAAGCGCGTCCATATAACTGGCAAAATTTGTCGAAAATTGCTGGGAAGTCTCTTGATATGACACAGTGCTTTTGATCGGAAGAGAAGCAGTTGTGGCGTAAAGCAATAAGTGATCGTCTTCTCGAGGATGTGGTCGCGAATTTCTTGGAGCTAGTGCTCGTTGGCCCCCTGTTTGTATTGCCTCAGACAGCGGTTCTATATCCTCCAACAACGCTCCCCGTGTCTTCTCAGGTGCCAGCGCCGGTGGCCATCCTGACGGGCGGCGTTCTGGGAGTTGTCGGGTGGGCGACCAACTGCCACTGACCTAGGCTTGCTGCATCGCCTGCGGATAGCGCCAATTTATTGCCTGCTAGCTCAAAATGAGTTCTCGAAAATGAGTCGTCAGAGCCCGAGCGCGCGGACTCTGAGTTTTTGGACATGAGATCATGTGAGGCTGCCATGTGCGCAGAGGGCCTCGTAGTGGACCGACTGTGCACTATGCCGGCTTGCCGCTCCCACAAGGCTTTGAAAGCTTTTCAAAAGAACCCTCCATTGGTAGAGTCACCAAGCTTCCCTGGCGTGGCTCAAGTGAGATTGCTTGTGAGCTCATGTGCCACTCAGCTCACGCCGCGAGGGTGCTGATCTATTCATCTGTCAAAGCGCAGCCGGTTTGAAATGTACCGAGGCTAGTCGGATATATTGCTAAACAATTACAGGGCTATGCATGCACACGTACGGCAAGTTGATGGAGGTGACGCACATGTGCAAGGCAAGATCGATGGCGCAGCCAATCAGCAATGTCGGAAATGTGCCAACAGCTCATGAACGCCGTAAGTTTGAATTTCACTTCTAGCTCTCAGCTCTAGTCCGTATTAATCGTCGATCAACATGATACTTTGTCAGTGCCATATGAGGTCAGCCGCCGACTAGTTCATCACGGTCGATACATGTGCGTGTGAATGCAGCAACGATTGTGATTCCAATCAAATGGACAGACATACGTGCAACATGTGCTTAAATAGGTGACTTTGGCAAAGAATTCTACTGGCAGCTAGCAATTCCCGACCTGGGCCATTGGCGATGTCCAACAAGCACATGTCGACGGACAATTCGCGTCATAAGCCCTGGCCGAGTGCACTCGATCCGAATCTTCATACATATCAATTACTGTACGTACTGGTATATGCTGCCGCTGAGGCTATCATAGCTTCTATAATTTTTGCAGTTCTGACCGTCCTCAGTCGAGCAGTCGGGCCTGCAATCGAGCAGTCAATCTGCGCATGCTCATGTGCATCAAAATTCAATTGATGTTGTTAGAGAGCCATCATGAACTGCTGTTTAAGCATCGAGGCTGCTTCGGTCAAACGACGGTAGGACCGTCACAACCCCTCAACACCGTTCATTCTTTTCTTTTCCAGTGATACTAAGGCCTTTCATTTACCTGCTCTTGTTATCAAATGTCATTACGCCCGGTTAGACGAATCTGGTCAACTCAACCTGGAATCGACCCTTCTTCGTTTCCGATATTTCTCCGACCTAGAGAAGGAGCGGATTAACATATCAACCAAGTGTACAATAGATGTGAACCCGCATTAACAACGTCAGCCAGCGCTGATAAAGGTTGGAAAAGGCGCAGCAGGAGACGGGATTGCGAACCAGGGGATTGAAATCTCAGCTCGGCGTCGCTGTGGAAACAGACCCTGCTCGGCTACAACAATGAACCGAACGGCCGGCATGATGACCTGTGAGTCCCAGTCTTCAACAAGGGAGTACACGCCTCAAAAGTCAACCGCACAAGACATTGCCAAGAGACGTGGCTTCTCACCTCTACTCGCCCCTTCCCACGTATGGATATGACATCCCCCGTCTTTACAGTCAACCCGCTTTTCGTAACCTCTTTCCAGTTTACTCGGACCTGCTTTGACCTGAACCACAGCAGATGCCGAAAGAGAGTTAAAGAAAGCTCTTTCGTCGACAAGCCAGGCGCATCCTACTGGCATGATTTCAACATGGGGCTTGGCAAGAAGCTCTAACCAAACAACACCGCAGGCGGATCTTCGACTCTAGAAACGATCGTTTGTGAACGGTATACATAAAGGACCATTCATGAGTCGTCAGATCCGTCTCTCGGCCATAAGGGCTCACTCGATCATGTCGACCAATTTGCTCCGGGACATGCGGAAGCCGGCGCTCCCAATCGCGTCCACCCGTAACGAAGCTTCGAAGGTTTTGATGGAGTCCACTCTGCAAACCAGAAAACGCACACAGTCAGACGAAAGCTCCTCAAATCTGGTTCCAAAAAGACGACGACAGTCACTAATACGATCTCGACAATCAGAGACAGGTCCTGCTGCGCCAAACTTTGTGAAATTAAGTCTCTTGTGACAGCCCGCTTAGCCAATTACAGAGAATCGCTTCAATTGCTTGCAAACTCTGTGCGCTTGCAACCAAAGGACAAATGAAGCAAGACGAATCGAAGAACTTTTGAACGCGAGATTGCAATCGTTGGACCTTAGAAGAATAACGAGGCCGGTTTTGAGCCGATATACGAGCTCTCACTTAGGTGGCCGGACCCGCAGATCGGTGAGGGGCACCTCCTCAACCGTAACTGGAACGGTGCGGACCGTTTTGAGGGCGCCCTTGAAGAAGTCGACCATCTCGGGAACCACCAGGATCTGAGCGCCCCTCTCGCCCTGGAACCCAATGTAGGATCAGTCACGTCTGTGCAGGTCAGAGATGCATGTGAGGCTGAACCCCTGCTCGAACACGAGGAAAAACCCATAGGAGGAACACTCTTGATGGAGTCCTGAGAAGAAGTCTCCTCAGAAGGAAGCAAACGTGTTCCCATAGAAACGGACAAATTAAAAGGACAACGGACGGTAGAGAAGATGGGTTCAGGGAAGCCTGCTTCAAATTTGAAAAAAACTCGAGTAGTGTGTCGGATCGCCTTTGTCTCCCTGTTCAAGGATAAGTTGGAGATGGTAACATAGTGCTCACTTGGACAACAATGTCCCCCACTTTGCTCCGGACCACCCCGGTGTTGAGAATTGCGCCCAGGAAGTCAGGATGTGCGGCCGAGTCAAACATGAAGTTGCCACTCACTCTGAAGTGTCGCCAAAAATGTAACGGTCAGCTTCGACAGTCTGCATTCGTGAAGGAATAGGGACTGGGACTGAATCCCTGTCTTCAGGGGGCTCGTCATGTCTGACAGTGCAAGCATGTCAAAAGGTTGAAAACAAGTAAGTCAGAAAGAAGAGCTTCTCATAAGCAGCAATTGGGAGCATTTTGTAAAGCCTCTTCTCCGACACAGAGCTCTTGTTCTTCGAAATTGAACGTATTTACAGGTATTGAAAGCCTCACTTACTCCAATGCAGCGACCGCCCCAGGGTACCCTCGCCCAAGCTCTTCCTCACTCGCCCCACTCAACTCCAAAACGTCCGGTCTTCCCACCGAGAGTCGGCACCGCTCTGCCTGAGGATACCTGGCAAATCACAAGTATCGCTTGAAGGGCCCTTCATAGGAAAAAGGATCAAGAAGGGGAGGTTAATCAACATGATACATGATCCAAAAAAAGTCAGCACTTGACACTGATGGTGGTTTGTTGGTTGGGTGTCCACTGCTCTCTCTCCTGAACCTAGCTTCTTGGGAGCTGTAAAAGTCTCGCAACTTACTTTGAAAGACTTGCGACAAGGACAGTATTTGTGAAAGAGAGTCTCTAAAAAGCTTACCCGCCAGAAACAATCCCAGAACAGTCCGCCATTCGTTTAAGCGCAGTCAATGCAGCCTGCACAATAGGGGGATGGTTGAGCCCCATTATCAGATCAGCTGGTGTGCAGAATCAGCGATCAAGCGATGTAAATAACAACAAAATTCTGATGTAAGACGGCACAATCCTTGTTTAGGAACAAACCAAAAGCGTCACCACTTACTCATCAAAGTCATACATCATACCACAAAGGAACCTGACGTCAGAAGAGAACGAAGTGATATGGCTCCCCGAATGTTGCATCTGACAAGTTTTCGGGATCAGTGGCTGACCTCTCTGGTAGGTGGATCCAGAAAGTCAGTGTGCGCAACCTCCCACTTGCTGGATGCATCCAACGCAAGTTCCAAAACACGGGAAACTCCATCCACATATTCTTTGCTGACGCCTGCCAGCAGCGAGCCCTTTGCAGCAGAGCCAGCGCGCACAGCGGTGGTGTGTGTCCTAGACCCCAATGAGAGAACGCTTTTCAACTCTGCATTCCAAGCGTTGTGAGACGATGCAGCCCCTCTTGTTGACTGCTGGTGGTGTGAGTAAACATATGTTCTAATTTCAGAAGCCCCAGGGCCTTGTGGAGGTGATTGACAGCTCACTAGGGACGAAAACAACGGCACCCTTGACTTCGACTTTGCTTTGGACTGATTGGAAAGCGTCTCCCTGCACAGCCAACAGATACTTCTGAAGGACCCAGTCTCCAGTGGAAATACTTTGGCCATCTTGACTCTTAAGATGCAGCTAAGCTCCAGGGCTTACAAGCAGCCTAATGAGAGCTGCAAGGGCAAGAAAAAGTGCTGAAAGAGGGAGGATCAACCGGAGCAAATGCACGCATGCAATTTAGCATCCGCGGGTTTGGGTCAGCTAAAGTGCAAGTGCAATCACTTGCAGTGTTGCATACAGTACCTATCAAAGGTTCACAACGTTGTCATGGCTGAACAGAGCCTGACCAAGATGGGACTCGTGAGTCGTATAGGAAACACAAGGAAGGAAGGAGGACCTGGCAGTGGAAAGCAAATTTATCGCCCGTCCGGGTTTTTCGCTCAGCCATTTTGCCGGGAGCCATCAGAAATGTTTCGAAGTCGAATCACGTGGCGGGGAGATATCACTGATTTACCCCGCCGCGGAGGGGTATATCAGGATT